TTACCTTCTTTTATCTATTATTATTTTCACTAAAACATCCACTAAGGGGCCTACACGTTGTAGGGTTTTTTTTATTTTATAGTGGGGCATGGTACACCCAAAGGGAACAAACAGTCGTTTGTAGGGCAACGTGAGCTACAGGACCATCGAAGTTTGAAAATAAAATAAGGGGTGGGTGGGGAGGCTCTTTCTCCTTTGTCTCTTATAGATGATTATGTTTTCAGTTTCTCCAGATAAGAACCGACCCATCATCTTGGAATGTTTCAATAAACTCCCAAAAATTGTTGGTCTCTGTTGGCCCACTTTGTGTTTCTCACTGTAGCACACCATTTTATAATATCGTGTCAATTTATAAAACGGTGATAAGAAGTTTAGTTGTGATAGAAGACGAGCCACGCACTTCTCTTTCCCACTATTCCCGATTAGGCCGTAATAAGGTCAAGTTTGGTGGATCGTATTGGTCTGAGTTTGATTATTTCAATTAAAACGAACTTATTAAATTAGATAATAATCTAACGTATTATGTTTTACAACTCTCTTTTTGAATAATAAGACTCATAAAAATTAGTTTGAACTTAACTGCAGTTCAATACGAATCGAACCACCAAACTCAGTGAAATATTACCAAAAATAAATAAAAATATTGATCAAAATGTGAACAAGTAATCAAATACTACAAACCTCTTTTTTCTTTTCCCATTTATTTTTCCTTTCTATATATATATATATATATATATATATAAACGCAAGAATGGGAGGACACACAACATCACTGTGGCTTTGATGCACAACACGTGGATGATAGGGGGCTACAAAAAGCAGCTCAACCAAATGCCTCATAATGCTTCAAGATTGAAAAGTATCTTTGATATCTGAAATGAAAGGGAAGCAAATAATAGATGCCACTGTCTCTCTTTCCAACTTAATAGTGGGGTTGACATTTGTTTTTTTTACCCATTTATGTTAATGTTTTTGCGGTTTGACTATTAGGGTTAGTTGGGCCTCTCCTCCAATTAAAATTGGTACGTAATTCTTAATTGAACAACGACTAATCGGGAAGTGAGAGGGGGGAGGTGGGAAAGAAGTCCAAGAAGCTATGAACTCTATGGAGTGGAGGCAAAGAGTAGTTTAAAAAAAAGAAAACATTCTTTGTAATTCTTTTGGGAGAGGGTTTGCTGTGGTCAAACCCTAGCTTTTAGTGCATGAGTCAGAGCACAAAGCCTAGTCATATATATTGTTTGTTCAAAAACGCTAACAATGTTGGGCATGCAAAAGTTAGAAAATGACATGAATTGGTCTTGGCTATTTTTCACACGGAAGCATACCTCATTGGCAGTGGTGTAGCAAAATTGAGAGAGTTTGAATGGTAGAAGCCAGGAACATAAATATCTGTACGATCAGTTTGTCACGGTTGAATAACAAGAGGAATATGTAACGATCATCGCATGCATTTTGAAAATCACATTTTTGTTTGTTTATGCGATGAACAACTTACAAGGGCATATATTTGGGCATTTGTACTGCCAATTATAGAATTGGAATGAGGGAAATTAGCCAAAAACAGTACAAAAAGATGCTCGCTCTGACTTTTCAAGGGGGTATAGGAGGAAATAAAGTTGCAAACACTTACTAAATGACAACAAATGCTTCATGCCATGCCAAAAGACACCAATTAATAATTGGAATGAGGGAATTAGCCAAAAATAGTTTGTGGGTGGGAACTCATATCTGGGAATGGCTCTGACAAAGTCATCACAAGGGATTTTTATTCACTAATCCAAAAGAAAAAAACAAATAAAAAAGGAAAGACGAGAAGAGAGGAGGGAACATAGAAGCATGCACCGAGGCACTTCTTCTTCCTCCTCCTCTCTCTCTGTCAGCCTTTTTCTTCGGGACAAGAGAGTGGGTGATAATTGAACTCTTACCCTAGGTGTCAGATAATTGTTTTACGATCGAAGTTATAAGTTCCCATCTCTTAAAATTCTTGATTTTGTAGCATGGTTGTACTCATACCTACTCAAACAGGAATGAACGAAATAACTTTGCAGCAAGAGAATTCATTGTGTTGAAGAATAGTGGGACAGAAGTTTATAAAAATTTATATGTGAAATAAGGATACTCACAAGCCCAGTGGCAGTTTAGCCCACTCGTAACTTGAAACTATGGGCTATGGTATGGGTTAAGAATTTTAGATGTTAGAGCTGGAATGGGCTTGTGTGAACTTTGGCCTAACCCATTTTTCAGTTGGGAGCTTGATGGACAATAAAATTAGATTTTGATAGTCATATTCCCTCAAAGCAAAATTCTATAGCGAGAGGTGCCATATATAGACCCCTTATGTGGACTTTTATATTAGTTACATGATTATTTCATTAAACTTAAGTGAAGTTACTATTTAGATAAATCACGTGGCTAATATGAAAGTCCACATATGATACTCTCACCAAGTATTAAGAGAAAGTGAAAAGTGAGAGTAAGAGAGAGCCAATGAAATGATAAGCTTCCGTATTTCTCTCGAACCTCTTATCCCTCCAAAACCCAAAAAACACTTCAACCCAATGGTTTTCTTTTTGGATTTGGGAGGTTTTCCCCCATATCTCTTCAAAAAAATAAGGGATTGGTTGATTCCCAGGCTCCTCTCCCCAAACCACACACCCCCTCCCCAAAACCACAGTTATGTTGTGGAGAGCTTTTCCCTTCCAATTTTTTTGTTCTTCCATGTTGCATGTTGTTGGCATGGTTAATCTAACCCCAGTTTTCTAGGGATTTTTTGGGTTTATGTGAATATCCTCTTTCTCCATACCCAAGGACGAACCTATGTGTAGGCTGTGGGCTTCAACCTAGGGCAAAATTTCTAAGTTGGTGTAAATTTTGTAAGGTTATTTCTACTACAATAAATATTAGCCCACCACTGTAGCATATAAATATTAGGATATTAGCCCACGTGTGCATGTCTTTTCTTGTTTTAATATCAGCACATTCACCTTGCCTAAGGGAGTAAATACTTCAAACCACTACACTAGTGGGTCCTTTGCACAACATGAGATATTTAATACAAAAAGAAATGGTGGGAATTTCAATCAGGAAGGAATTAAAGTCAGCTTGGCTTTCTTCGTTCTCTTTTCTCTCTGCTACCGAAACTCTCTACTTTCATCTCATTGAACTTGATAAGGAGGCAAGAGGAATCATAGGCTCTCCTTTCACTTCACTATTGTACATTTCATCTATTTTTTTAGAGAACGTGGAATCACTTTGCAAAAATCATGACATTGATATGCCATATATGAATGCTCGTTATAAAATTGGATCCGTACTTGCTTATGATATATTTATTTATTTTTAAATTAGGGTTTATAATTGATCCCAACAAAAAAGAAAAATAGCCCACCCTCGTAAATATTCATGGATCCGCCATTGCCCATACCCACGACTCAGAATTCTACCTTGATTTTGTGTTGGATCTTCTCTGATTTGGTTAGATCTATCTCACAGCTTTGGGGTTCTACTTTCCTGAGGATTAGGGGTTACTTGTTAGAGGAGAAGCCAAGATTTGATTTTCACAGAGTTTGGGTGTTGGACTTCGAGGACCCGTTTGATTCACGGAACAGATTTGAGGGGAAATCACTTCCCATATCATTTTCCAAGGGAAGGGAAATGGAAGATTCTTTTCCCACATTTGGTAATGCCGATAAAGTAACTGGGAGATTTCACATTATTTCTTTTCCCATATTTGTTTTGAGTAGGAATAGAAAACAAAGTTTGTATATTTTTCCAATTATACCCATATTAAATCAAATAAAAAATGATTGCATTTAATGATATATTGTAATTCTAAATTATTAATGAGGACAAAATGGTCATGAAAAATGTGCATTGAATGTTAGCTCATTTTTCCAAATTTTCTCATGAAGAGGTAAAACAAAACCCAAGTTGGAAGGAGGGTTTCACTTTCCCCATTACTTTCCCATATGCTAGGCAATCATTTCCTATGCCTGGACTTACCAAATATGGGAAAGTAATTGATTTCTTATCCCCAAGCTTCATTTCCTATGAACCAAACGAGGCCCTAGTGGAAAGGAGATTGTATTGGATATTTCGGTATAGGGGTGGACATCTCATCCAAATTATCCGCGTACCGTACCGACAGTTTGGTTAAATAATTATTTTTTAAGTATGTGAAGGAATTGAGTGGTATACTCTTTCTCTTAGGGGCGCTTTCTCTTTCTCGTTTTAATAACGACAGAGGTAATTTGCCGATTGCTAGGAGCCCTTTTTGATACTGGTATTGACGATTATGCTTGCTGTCTGGCTTTGGCTTCTAATGAAGCTCTCAAATCAAGAAATCGAACATGTAGTTTTCTCTAAGGAAGCTCTCAAATCACCTTCCAAGGAAAGAAAATTCCTATGGTAAAATTGGAAAGTTAGTTACTTCAGATAAAGCACTAAAAAACCATCAGAACCCAAACATACGCAATAATTACCACATCATTACACCCTCTCCCCGAGAACAATTCAGATAAATATATACACAAGTGCGTACACCTTTGACCACAGCTGGGTACGTGTTGACTGCTCAATGGCGGCACCACACGTAGCTTAAAATAAAGAAACGGAGCTCCTCCCTCCTCCGCCAATCAAAACGCGCCAACACACAAAACCCGTCCGCGGTAAAAAAGACCCACCCAAACCCAACTCCGCTGCTGCTCCTCAAAGTGCTTAACCAAACCCACACACTCCTCTGTTTCTGTAGTTTTTTTTTTCAAAGCCTACAAATTCCACTGTCCCTACAATCTTCTCAGTCCACCGCACCAGACCCGATTACCATTTCCATTTCCAAGCCCGACCCGACTCCATTTTCCCCAAACTTTTTTTTCTTTCTAATTTTGTTTTTATTATTTTTTAATATTTTGGAGTTTTGAATCTGATTTAGTGGATTTGAGAGGGGGATTTGGATTTCGACCATGTTACGCCTCTGAGGGTTTTTTGTCGGAGATCGATCAATGGCGTCGATCCGGCGAACTCTATCGCCGGCGTTCAGAGACCGGCCGTACGTGAACGGCGTCGGGTCTCCATTTTCGGTACAATCGCCGTCGCCGAAGCTTCTGTCCAGCTCCAGATATTCACCGCCTTTTCCGTCGGCGATTCTCGCCTTCACCGTCACCATCCGGCGCTTCATCGCCGGAGTTCTTTTCCACCGACCTAATCGCAAAGGCCAGCAATGGCGTCGAGTGTTCTACAGGTGCTTGCTCTTCTTCTTCTTAGGGTTTTTGCTCGGTCTGTTGCCGTTCGGCCACGTGGACGACGATGAAGAGACTCGAGGCCGGAGCTTCAATTTCGACATCAAGCCTTCGCACTTTAATGTGCAGTTCGACAACGACAACACGGATCGCGTCGTAAAACGGAGGGAGGATCTCGTCGTCGACGTGAGCCTCGGCGTGGTGGAGAGTAGAGGGGAGTTGGTGCAGAGGAAGCAGCTGATTATTGTGACGCCGACGTACAACCGCGCGCTGCAGGCCTATTTCTTGAACAGGTTGGGGCAGCTGCTGAGGCTTGTACCTCCGCCGCTGCTTTGGATTGTGGTAGAGAACAAAGCGGCGTCGTTTGAGACCGCCGAGATTTTGAGGAAGAGCAGCGTGATGTATAGGCATTTGGTGTGTAGCAACAACTCGACGAGCGCGAAGGACCGAGGCGTGTATCAGAGGAACACGGCGTTGGAGCACATTGAAAGGCATACACTTGATGGCATTGTGTACTTTGCTGATGATGACAATATATACTCGCTCGACTTGTTTGATCGCTTGAGAGACATTAGGTAGATATCTTCTAAATTGAGCTCATTTCACTCATTTTAATCACTTTCGCTTCTGTTGGTGTTTGTGTTTGCTTCACTTGCTTCTTGTGGAATGGTGGTTTTCCTGGTTTCTCTGTTAAATTGGTATGTTATTGCAATTTTAGCAATTGGAGCTACTTGGGTCTTTTTTTTTCTTTCTATTTCATGGCTTTCTTGCAGCTCTGGTTCGAATATTTTTGTACTGAAGAATGGTAGCTGGTGCTACTCTTTCCCTTCACTAAACTTCATTTTGTTAGAATTTGCTTTAGTTGATAGATTTCATATAGCTTCCCACATTTCTTCATATCTACAAACAAACATGTACAATTTACCAGTACTATGATCGTTTAGGTAGTGGATTTTTATGATTGTGTCTTCTTGCTTTGGTCAATTTTATGATTTTTATCCAAGGCCCTTCCCTTTTTTTCTTCTTATCCTTCTTGTACCATATTTTGATCTCTTTCACTAAATTAAATTGTTTAGCTTGAGTAGGTTGTTGTTTGTTTGGGGTTCCTCCCCCTGGTTCATAAAAAAAAATTGTTTAGCTTGAGAGATGTGAATGTAGTTTTGTATGTCACATGATTTTAATAGGCGAGTAAAGAAAGCCCACAAATTTTCTCTAAGCCCGCCTTGGTTGAAGATGGGAAAAGTAAAGAGAGTTGCCTCTTTGGACCATTCTGTTCAAAGGAGAGTGAATACAACAACAATTACTGAGTTACTTCTGTCTCTTTGAGAAACCGTCACATATTGGTTTTCATGAGCACCATTTCTTTCATTCTACAATTTGGCTTCTCTATGTGTTGTTAGTGTCTGAATGTGTTTGCAGAATGTTACAAATGCCAACTTCAATCTTGATGAATTTATGCTGCCCTGCCTGCCTTTTGAAAAAAGAAAGAAAAAACTCTACAGCTAATTAATGCTTTGATCTGTTTTGAAGCCGTTTCGGAACTTGGCCAGTTGCTATGTTAGCACAAAGCAAAAACAAGGCTATATTAGAAGGTCCAGTATGCAATGGGACCCAAGTAATTGGATGGCACACCAATGAGAAAAGCAAGAGACTCCGTAGGTTTCATGTTGATATGTCCGGATTTGCTTTTAATAGCACAATATTGTGGGATCCAAAGAGATGGCACCGCCCCACTTATGTTCCAATTCGACAATTAGACACAGTGAAGGAGGGTTTCCAAGTACGGGTCATATCATCCCATTTGTTTGAGTCATTTGCGATATCATCTTAATTTTTCTTGCTTCTCAATTATTTTTCATGCACTGACATTGCTCTCCCTTTTCATCTTCAGGAAACCACTTTTATAGAACAAGTTGTGGAAGATGAAAGACAAATGGAAGGTATGCCAACTGGTTGTTCAAAAGTAATGAACTGGCATCTGCATTTGCAAGCTCATAGTCCTGTTTATCCGAAAGGCTGGCAACTTCAGAAGAACCTAGATATCGTTGTCCGCATTAAATGATAGAACTCACTAACCGTGCAAGTTTGATTCCAATAGCGGGAGAAAGGTATGAAATTTTGATTCTCTTGAATTCAAAATTGGATTTTGAAAATAATGTACCTCATACTCAGACTCCCTTGTACCATATGTATGCAAGTAATTATCAGTAAGCACAATCAATTAAATTTAAAAGGTTCATATGGTAGTTTTATCTTTACTGCCATAAACACCATTTAACCTTGTAGAATAAATGATATAATATAATTACATTTTTGTGACAGTTCTCGAATTTCATGTTGGTGGTTCTCTGCCCCTGAAGGGATCATTGCTTGATTTTGGTACAATCAGAGCATTTAAGCAGCCTAGTAGAACCTGACTGGCAACGACAAACAAACGGAAGATTTACGGTTTTTGTTTGTAGATTTTTTTTTCCTGCATGATATTCTTTTACAGAAACGAAATTTCGTTTTTGTTGTAGATTTCTTGGTGTTTGATATCGTTTCTTTGTTCTTTTCAAATTGCTTAATATTCAGAACAGTTCGTCCACCCCACCAAAATAGGGTAGGGGTTAGGTTTGTTATGGATCCCATACTTGTATTGTACCCAATCAAGCGAAAGGGCTTGTCCTAAAATAGGTTCACATAATCAAGTAAAAACCTTTCTGCTTTTGGCATTCTCTTTCCTGTTGGCATCTAAATTCAACTCTAGCATTTTGTTTGTTACTTCGTATGGGAACACAATTATCATTTGAAGTTGATGGGTTGAATGAATCAACCTAACCTTCTTGCTTCCGGTCATTTAAAAAAAAAGAGTGAAGTACGAACGAGAACAAGTCCGGGTCTTACATAGTCAACATCTTAAATACGTTATGCTCACAATTGAAAAAAATAAATGATCACATGGTCTCTCTCTTTGAATTAAAATAAGTTTGTCAAACGAAGCTAATAACCCCATGTGAAATAATGGTGTGCCAAATCTCTGCTTTGTTGGTAACTTCAAAAATTCAGGTAAACAACAGTTATTGAATTAGAGTTTAATTTGCCAAATATTCAAGATAAACACAGCGCAAACCAAACACGATTAAGACAAACATGAAACAGGTCGTGTCCTGAGTGTGATAGACACGTATACAGGTACTATGCATTATTTTTCTTTAAGAAAAAGGGAAAAGTTCTCTTTCAACGATCAAATTTAATTGATGGTCAAGCACGCATTAATGATAAAATGATTAATACACTATTTTTTCTTGAATTAATTTTTTTTAAATAAATACATTAACAATAATAAAGCAAATCAAGAAATAATTAATAAAACAAATCAAAGTTTAATTCATTTTAATTCGACTGTAATATAGCCACTTTGTAATGGTAATTTTAGAAAAAAAAATACTTTTTGTGACTTAAGTTTTAATTTTATTTTTATAAAATACAAACTAGCACATGAAAGGATGTGAAAAAACTCAACCAACTGATCTATGTCTAACTTATATATTTTATTCTCATTAGGTGCCTCTCCTAGACCACCTAGTTGCAACTTGCAATTAATGAATCTTCACCATACACAAAACAACCTTACAAAGAACAAGCTCGACCTCTCTCCTCTCACGATCTCTCTCCATTTCTTTCTCTACTCCCTTTTTTCTCCCTCTCCCTCATCACCAACATCCACTGTGGATGACAAGGTCTCCGGCCAACAAGAGGGTCCAATGAGGAAGGGAAGAGGGAGAAAAAAGAGATAAGAAAGACAAAGGGAAGGGTATACGCAAACTAGCCCATATCAGCTTTGGATTAGAGGATAAGCAAGCTATCCTCTCTTCGAAACAAAAAATATTAATCTTATTAGTGGTGCTAGGAAGAAGGTGAATTTTTTTAGTGAGGCGGCTAAATCATTCCTTCCATTGCTTAATCCATTTTCAGTGCGCGTCTTATGGAAATAATTATGATTGGGAAAAGAAACGACAAAAGAAATCAAAAGAAATATGAACTAAAAAGCTCGAGGAAAATTCAACTATAATTTACAGGGACCTGTTAATGAGCTGGACCTTGCTTTCAGCAGCTAACCACCCAAAACAAAACTGTTAACTACATCTGCCCTCAGATTAGATTGGAACTTGGAAGAACCAAAATTTACAAGGACAAAATACAAATACATATAATTTTGAAAAATCAATTATGGTACATTTCACAGAGCAGTCGATGAGCGGTTAGGATGCATCTCTTCAATGGCAATTCCTCTCTTTCTTTTTTTCTTTTTTCTTTTTTGCATGACTCGCAATTTCTGAAGAATTGATATTTCCATCTGCAGTCGGCCTGAAACTTATCTTAGGTTACCAAACAACAGCCCAAAGCGATAAGCCGCGATGTGTGTGGCCGTTCGCACAATTATGGCTCTCTAATTATCGGATGTCCCGATTTGTACTATACATAGCTGGTCAATTCCCAGAGTCCAAATGCTATCTATTTATCACGTCGGAGTTGCTCCATGAACTGATGAATTCGTGTCTGTAGGGTGAAACGATGATGGCAAATGCGGTTGCTGTAAATGTGTTTCATTTGCAAGACCAAGAATTGCAAGGGTCGGTCTGCCAAAACACATGCAATAAGCTTTAAACAGAAGAAAGAAACTGCCGCTTTAAACACAAGAAAGAAACTGCCATCCCCAGTGCATATGGAAAAGCAAAATAGAGGAGAACGGACTAAACAACAATTATGGTAAACACCGGAATAATACTGCAGTTAAAGTCAAAAGGGGAAGAAAAAAAAAGAGCGAATTCTACAGTCTAGAATGTTCTTCTCAAGAAGAAAAATACTATAAACCTGTTCAATCAAAATAATAACTCAGAAGCCTACGAATGCATTATGAATCACTGAAGCAATTGCAAATATTAAAGTCAAACAGATGTTTCACAGTTTCATAGTCAAACTTCACTTCCGACAATTTGTATAGACCGGACATGTCAGACAAAGGGGTTGAGTTTCAATGAAAAACCATAGACCATGCTCTTTCAAGTTTTATCTATAGTAGCCTAAAAAAAATTGAAAACAATCTCCGCAGAATAAAGTGGGTGGTCAATCAGATTGCACAATACCTAGGGAGTGAAGCTTTTACACTAGGCTGGCTAGCATAAGCAGCAATGGGACCTCTGAGGTTCGCATATTTGTTCAAAGCACTTTCAAGTTGTGGGGGTGGTAACTGCAAGGGAAAAATAGGCAAAGAAAGCTGTGACTAAAATCACCAACAGACAGCAAGGGAAAGTTCTCCATATAAATAGACAATGAGATACCTGTAACAATACACGGAAAGAATGTGGCTGTGTCTGAGATGCACATTTCAAGAAGCCAACCCACAGTTTTGGCATTCTCCACACCTGCAGTCAAGATTGCATATAAAATATCAGTTGTCCCCTAGCCATGCTAATTACGAGTACTGACACATCAACCTGAAAGATCACATACAAGCCAAAATAACACAGATACATAATGGTAATTCTAACCCCACAGTACACATACCTGTTTACTCACAAGTTTGGAAAGTATTTCCATTACAAAATCAACCTGAATAGAACAAAGGCATGAAACCGTGTATTTACATAAATATGGAAATCAGGACAATAACGGAAAAAAGAATAAAGAATAAAACGAAAAGGAAAATGAAGGAAAGAAAGTTACCAGTGAAGGAAAAGCATCAATTGCCTGAATAACTGTCCGCATAAAGAGAAGAGGAAGAGGAGTTTGATCAACCTGAAAAACAAATCAGTTAACTAAATACTACATGAAGGACAAATATTGACAGATGATATATGCATACCATCTGATTCAGGGCCTTTGCCAAGACTTGCTGTGTGAAAACTGTGCGTTGCTCAAAACAAGCTGAGCAAGCATCTGTTATCTGCAAAAAAAGACAAGCATACAAAACTGTTAATAATGATACAAGGCGCATGATACAAAAGGAGCAACCATACTATCACCACCAAATCATGGCATAGCCACCAAAAAAGGCGATATAAAGTATTGTCAGGTAAAGTACATAAAAAAATTAAAAAGGGAGGGTTCATTGAGTTGTGTAGAAGTACAATGAGATACGTGCCACAATAATAATATTATTTATTATTGAGTTGACAAGGCAGAAAATTAAACCCTGCCAGTGGGATGCACCTTGGCAAGACAAATTGAAGGGATGTGCCTTGATCAGAGTTAATTGCAAAACTCAAGATTAGTTCAACCTCAATCTGATCCATCCCAATTTGTTTGAGCTTTTATTCCATCCAAGTTGTACTTATTACAAAAAGTACATCCCCGATATACATTGCAAAGAAGATTAATATATAAAGTACAACATAAACCTATCTTTGGGCAGAGCTATTTTCCTAAGGTTGGAATGTGGGAAACTTCAAATTAATCAAGGCCTGTATTTTCGTCCAAATTGATCAAAACGTACTACCGAATGACTATAACCATTATATTATGTGAATTTTGGGTACACAACTACTTGTGAAACATTGGATAGAAGATAGGACCAGATGGCGCATTGTAAGCAAATAAGTGGTAGTTCATAGATCATCCAACTTTCTACTCTATAACAGTTTATTGAACGGAAAATAATCAATAAGTGCGTGCCTTCTTAAGTGCGAGACCATCTTTCTCGGGAACAATTCCATGGATGGAAACCAAAACTTCCGTGGGTGTTAAAGCTGGACCTGTATGAGCTGAGCCCTGCAATTGATAGGATATAAACTTAGTAACTACACATACAAGTACTTCAGCAGTTCACGAAGTCAAGAGTATATGATTCTACCCATTGTTTGAATAGCTTTACTTCAGAATTTCTCAACATCCTACATATTTATATACACCTTGTATCCTTTGCAAATCTCAAATTCATAAGATAAAAAACTTAAGTCTGATTTTCCTTTATAACATCTGAATGTGACGTATTTTTTTTTATAAAAAAAATCTGAAATGTGAACGGAAATCAATTTTTTATATATAGTTGTATGTGTCCATATCAAGGACATATAAAACAGTGTTATACATTAATAAAAACAAAAAGTGTTATAAATCTGTATATAAATACACAACACACACTGCGCAATTAGCATTTGTGTGAAATCAGACACTGAAAACTGCATGTACCTGTAGTATGTGAGCAAGTGCTGTCTGGAATTTTTCTAATGGAAGAGCGACAAGCCGAGGGAATATAGGTAAAACCTGGTCCCATTAAATGATTACACAGCCATAAGGATACATCTATATGAAACTAACATAACAGCATAAAAAAATTCAGTACTGATGTTACCCTTTTTTATTTAACGCAAAATGTGTGATACCGTTTCATGGACTAATGAAACATGCTAAAGAAAGGAACATTATAACACAATAATAAAACTAGCTTCTCATGAATCAAAACAAAATTGGAATTCGTTTCTGTTTTTTTTATACTTCAGATCTTAGTAACATGCATTTTCCTCTCGCTTGTGCCACGAGGGCATAACTAAGGTTGAAATCATAATGAAGATAATACGTACCACTCTTTATATTAATAAAGTTTTTTCTTTTACTTTATCTAATTCATGTTTCTTAACTAACTTTTAATATTACGCAATGTAATTATCTTTTTAAGCATGCATACAACATGATGGAGAAAGCTTAATCTTTATTGTAACATGTTCTGTAGTGTGATGTGTTATGCATAAGTTTATATGGTGTTAAAATGTTTTCTTCACGTTCAGGTTGGTTACTTCGTAATTTCTTCATACTTTGTTAAAAAGAAAAGGTAAAACATTAATTAATGAATGAGTCTGGGCATATATTTGGACACAATAAGTTAAAGGGTTGTCCATTGTGTTCGGGTTTAGGATAGTTTCATACAATACAAACATACTAAAACACAAAATGTTCCCCAGTTGAAACAGCTTAATTTTTGGGAACAGTGATAAAACAAGAACACTACATATCATTTGAGGAGTACTAGAGGAGGAGAAACAAACCTCATTTTTAGAAAGTGCAGACAGCATTGGAATGAGAATTGTGACATCCTACAAATATCCAACTCAGGTTTAATCATAAAAATGGTAATAAAAAAGAGATGTAACTACTGATCAAAAGAAGAAGCTTTAGTTATTTGGAAAACCTTTAATTTAGTTTCATACAAATGCTTAACGGTGGCTATCAGATCAGACGAAGGCGATGTCTCCTGGGTCAATATTTGCAGAACCTTGCCATATTAAAAAAAAAAAAAAAAAAAAAAAAAAAAAACATAAAAAAAACCATAAAATTATGTGGGCATCAAATCTATACATAAAACAAAACCATATTAACAAGAAAAAAACAAACAAATAAAAGCTTCAAAATTAAAAACACTCGAAATAAAACAGGAAATACAGCACTCACCAGCATCAAAAGATTCTCACTTCCTTGTGGTGGATCAGATATAATATTTAACAATTCGGAATAAGATGACCCTAAGGCCCTTATAAGAATGGGAATATGGCGATGAAAAGCCTGCATCATTTCAAAGGTAAACAAAGGATTTAAATGCATGCCATTAGCAATTACATATGATTAGGAAACAGTAGCATGGAAAATCATTTCTCACATGAGGCATATTGTCATGGAATATAATTTCATCTACAATATGCAAGCACTTGGAAATCTAAAAAGGAAATTTAGCAAAGGAAAACCCAAAATCACAGGAATACACCCCAAGTATATATTGGTTTGCATTTAGTACAAGACAGTACTGAATTGTTTATAGCTCCCAATAATTGGAAGGGCAGGCGCAGGAGCAATGATTGTATAACCTGAACATTGATTGTCAAACCTTAGTGGCATGGGATGTTCGCCTAAAAATGATTGACAACCTTAGAGGATCAACACAAGAACAAACCTAGTCCAAACACTAATATATATACTGCACAAATAATTTAATTTTTTAACCTAGAAATCAAACTACACTATTATTACAATGTATAGATCTGCTTCTGTTAATTAACATAAGACTCAACTGAATCTGATGTAAGTCTGTAATATGTAAGGAATGGCAATGTTGCGTCCTTGTGTCAGCTTAGGGCAACATTGTTGGGCCAGAATTCTATCAACTTAAGCTTTTGAATGATCATTTCAGTCATATATACATCACATGCAGAGTTGGTTTATCTGAAGGTCCGACTCAAACCAGCCTGACTACAAGGACAATTGAAATATAATGACCCAAACCAGCACAAAGATACTAAATTCAATGACAGGTTCTTAGTTTGAATGACTGTCACACTTATTTCAGTATGGTAGACTCTTTTTGTAGCGCCATCACAGAGTTCATGCATTAAGTAGTCCGCTTACATGGAAAGATACCATAATAGACAAAACATAACAACTCATCTAACATGCTATCAATTACTACAAATATATATGTCAACAGAATCAACGAAAGTTTCACCTGCTTTACAGCTTTCGGGGCATGTCCATAAGTATTAAATACAAGTTGAATAAGAATAGGTTTCTGCAAGTATAAAAATAAAAATAAAAGAACCTAAGTTAGTGTCGCTTAAAAAAAAAACCAATTATGAAAAGTCGCTAATTAATTACCAGTCATGAGAAATCAAAGGCAAACCTTTATACATAAAGCAAAAAACAAAGAAATGAGTCGTTGAACTTCAGGAAATGACATGGTTGATAGTGCTTGGTCCTTTCTTGAGGAATCATTTTCAGAATTTCCAGACTCCGAAACTTCAAAATCACTAATAGATGTTTCTTGACTTTCCAGCTGAAAATGATTGCGAAGGAGGAAGAGATGAGATTAAAGTAGATGTTAAATGCAGAAGCTATCCCCCATAAAATACTGTAGATGCTAATCTCAACTAATTCAAAAGGGTAACTTAAAAGGTGGACATTTAGTAAGGGAATCCCCATAAACTAAAGAGATAATAAAAGCAGCCATCAACTAACAAGTATAATCAGGAGAAGACCCTGCAGAAGTTACTATGTCAAGAAGACCATACAAATGAGTTACAAAGATGCCATTAGTCTTAGAAAACAAAACCATAGAATTTGAGAGAAGACAACTCAGAAATTTTGGCATATCAGCTGTCAAAATCATAAAATATTTAAGCTTAGAACATTAAAGGACTTTCAAATGCAAAACTCTCATGATCTATCCAATTGATAAGCTGTTACTGCTATATTGCTGCTGGCATTTCCTAATGAATCATGGCCCACTAGATGAAAAGGATATAAAAAAAAAATTATCTTCACCATGCAAGATTCTCATGGTTGGTTGCAATTGCATGGACAAGAAAGGAAATAGTAACAGCAACTGAAAGAAGCATACCATCCGTTCTGCTCTTTGCCCAGTGGGCCCCCGATTGTGCATGCTCTGTACCAGATGGAGATTGTTCAACAGCAGACAGCAACATATTTGTAGCAAATTTCTCAATAATTTCTGATACGTAACTCAACTGGTAAAGTTTGTTTGCCACCTATAGAACACAAATAAAGACCATGTATCAGAAAAAGAACTGACTACAATTCTTGCTTTGCAAGACAGACTACAATTTAATTGAAAAAGGGAGCCCTGCCAACATCTTGAAATCAGTATATTAGCAAGACTTGGGGATTCTATTGAACAGTAATATCCCATACCAGCCGGATAGCTTTGGCTCTGATCTCATCTTGTGAATGAACAGCACACTGCCATGAGGAAATATTTGTTTGGGTTATGCATTTTTAAAATGAAAGAAACACAGATTTGAGTTAAGTATTAAATAGCACAAGAAGCAGACTATAACTAGCAATAGTTTCCATACAACCGATAGGTACATCTACATAAGACTAAAAGCAAGACTGCCTAATTTCCTATTACTGTGAAAATTTTACTCATTTATGCATTAAGCTTATGTAGTACATCCTGTTTGAATTAAGCTCAAAATTACAACACTCCAAAGAACCTCATTGTAAAACGTTACTTGGTTCTTCCACAGGAGCTACAGAGAAATAAATATTTTTTGGATCCAAATATCTCACTGTTTTTGCATATCTTTTAGTGGACAAGGATCCACAATGAAAATTGGTCGTGTACCCATACCAGCTCCCTGCTTATGATTAATGCAGGAATCAATCGTAACTCCCTAATCTCTGGTATAACCCTCAACACTGCAAGCAGGCTAGCTAGAACCTTGAAATATTACCATTGCTGGTTTTACAAAGCAGAAGGCTAGCACATAACAGTCAGCTAGCAAATATCACTTTTACAATCTGTCCTCTTTAAACCTTCCTAACAGAATGCTAAATTGTTAAACATCCAACATTGTCAGCTATATAGACAATCTAGCCTGTTCACTTTTATTAAAGTCCTCATAATAATATTATAACCCTGTGAATGCAAGAAATGCTTGATCTGGTTCATAAAATTCATTTGATAGCCATTAAACATCCATTCATGCAAACATGCAGAACAATTCCTCCTCCTCCTCAACGCCTGGATCAACAAAAATGAAGTTCTTTTTGGAGATTCTTAGCATTTCTATATTGCCTTGTATGTTAGAGAGAACCATATACAACAACAGATCACCATTACCTACAGATAGATCAAAGTATTTAATAATTTGATTGTTAAAAGTTCAGCCCAAGTTACCTTCAAAGTGATGTCTAAGCAGCTTTGTCGATAATGTGGCCTCCCCAAAATTAAACTCCAAACAGCACCAAGGCCCTGAGTGACACGCTCAACGTCACGAATATCTTTTCCATGTTTATCAATAACATCAAATTGCATAGATCATCTAATAGTTTCAAAGTTGAGTCGGGCAGAATTGGAACTTCACCAAGAAGTCTACTAAACGACTTGTCTGAGGCTGGAAAGGACTCCAGCAAAGACTTAGCCTGCATTCAAAGATGTAATATATCCACTTCTTACAGAAACAAAAATAAAAACAAGGTACAAACAGAAAAGCAGGTGCCTACCACTTCCAAGAGGAACTTCTCATATACAGCAGTAGCAAATGAACAGCTTTCAACTGAATCAGATATCGTCAAAGCATGCAGATGGTACAAGACATGCAATACTAGCTCATGGCCCTGAAATCAATTCTTACAAATCAGACTGAATAACATTAAATAACAAACTAAGCTGTTCAGTGTTAATCTGTTTTGTTTAATAGAACAGAGAATTTTGATAGTAATAAACCAGTACAATCAGAGGACAACAAATCCACCACAACACAACAGCAAGAGTTAATCTGTTTTTACCAAAGTGAATGGCTGGTAATACTGAAGAAGATCAGTATCTACAATAGGTTGAAAATGGTCTGCTGTTGAAAATAGTGATACAGACATACCTAGTTCAAAAGCATAATCCTTGAAAAAATTCTTGTGCACCCAAGACAATATGGGATAGACTAACAACGGGAATAATTTGCAAAACCAACTCTTCTTTTTTCAAATCAAGGAACCAACATAAAGCTTGCTTTCATCATTATATTACTAACTACTTAGACTTACTAAAAATAATTTACCACACTATCTCAAATACCATATCTAGCCCACAATAACAGCTATCATCCAGGTCTTACCCAGAGAAAAAACTTCAAGAAAGTAACTGGGAAAACAAGCAAGATAACCTGCAATTTCAAGCAATAGATACCTTTTGCTGTTGGTATCCACAAGGATATGCTTATGCAGCAGTACAACAATTTCATCATCCGCATCAATCTGTGAGATCAAAACATTTACAGATAATTCTGAATATGCTAAAGGCCCTCCAAAAACAAACAAAAAAAAAAAAAAAAAAAAAAAAAACAGCACATTCTGATAATTCACATAATTCAAAAATAAAAATCAATCAATTGGAGAGTAGATCTTGGTGAACTGATGCTGAAAGAGTTCAAAGAAAATTTTGGATGATCTTCCAGTGCATTGTCTACTGGCGTAAGAGTTACAGGAAGTTGAATAGTTTTAGGACAATACTTGAAAAGAAATTTATGTGGGTGCTTATTTAGATATCGAAGCCACTCATATTGAGACAAAAAAGTAAGGCAGTAATGCTAAGAACTCATCACTCAACAAGTATATTAATTTAATCTACTCTGAGAAGAAAACAATTACCAATTTTCATTTGAGTTCAAACAATCATAAGAGCGATCCCTACCTGAGCAACCAATCGAGCAAGTAATGCCAAGCGCATCTGACTGTAATCTGCACCATGCAAATACTTGTATGACTCAATAATTCGTTCAATTGCTAATTTTCCCACGCTTCGTTCCTGTTCTTGGGTCAGCTCAACATAAATAGGAAGCTGAGGAAAATCTTGATAAGTATCTTCGGATGCAGATGTGTTTGAAAGAACTGGAGAATGCTGATCAGATTCTAAAAAGGATGAGGTATCAAGGTCCTCATCCTCATCTTTCCCTTCAATATCTGAAAGCTTCGTTGCAATCAGGTCCTCATCAACTGTTTGCACGGGAGAATCTGTGAGATCGGAAGATAAACCGAGCTTCGAAGCAGGGTCAATTTCAACAGGTCCATCCAGAACCTCCTCCTTAAGAGTTAGTTGGCCACTTCCAGAAACCAATTGGCTATCAAAAGTCTTTTCATCACTTTCTGTTTGGAGCATGGGAGTTGCTAAAGGAGTTTCGACAGTGGTCACATTGGGGAGCAGATTAAGCTTATTTAAAGACATTGAGCCATCAAAGTCAGACTGCATAGCAGTAGTATCTTCCATGGGTGTGGATGCCAGTCCAGCAGAAGCTGCTGCACTTCGTGGATCCAAGCGACGAGGATCCTGAAAATGCAACTGAGATTAATTTAAAGTATTTAAAATCCTCAAATTCTTGTAAACTGAATAATTCATAGTAGATACAAGCAAATGAAGACTTGAGATTTATTGAAGTTTACCCTTCGCGGATCTCGCTTGGAATCAGTGGGAAGGCTATTCACATTGGACGCATCAGAAACTGTTAAACTGGTTACAGTTGCTGAAGAGAAAGGCACTTGTTCAGTGAGAACTGGAGACTGCACAGAAGATGTTGGGGAGCCTGCAACAACTTGTGCTGAACTACTTAAAGAACCTATCTGCCGTGGAACTGGAAAATTCCCGAGCCTTGTCAAGGGTGGGGGTATCTTAGGCAAGTGCCTCATATTAGTTATAACAATATCAGCCAACAGATCGGGATGGATATTTGAAATAAGAATTTCAAGTGATTCACCACCTCTTTCTCCCTCACCAAGCAAAGCGCCGATTACAGCAATCATTTGCTCCACAGGGGTCAACTCACCATCTAATACAGGAAGGTCAGAGGACACTCCATTGACAGAAGTGGTGTCCCGCCCAGAAGCATTCATTTGAACTGGCAAAGTTGAATAGGAGTCAGGACCATAACGAATTCGCTTGGAAGGCATCTCATGATTATTAGATGCCTCCTCAGTATCCAGAGGAGTAAGTCTTCTCTTTAGCAGGTCCCCGGAAACAGGCAACTGGCTTGATTGTTGATCATCCTGATTATAGGAATTTCAATGAGGCAATGAAAAATAATAATAATATCAGTGATTGGATTCTAGATGTGAAGAATAAACAATAAGCTTTGCAACATGAAATTATTTTACCTTGCCCAACCGAGCATCACGTGAAACACGCTCAGCATTTCTTAACATTTTTTCAACTTGACGGATCACTTGATCAGCCGCATCACCAGCATTCATAGCTCGTAGAGCTCTAAGCAGTCTATCTCTTGACTGCAAATGTAACAGGGACGAACTTGTCATGCATCAGATCAGATAGAAAATACAAATACTTTAATACTTTTGCACTTTATCTTTTTTTTAACAGAATGTGACCATATCCATGCCCATTCTCGTCCTGTGCAAAAAATTAACTTTCAAGATTGCAAAAGATCCACTTCCAAGGAAAAAGAAAACACGAAATTAAGGGAAGTTTTGATATTATATCAACATATGATTTTGGCTTTATTGTGACATGATGACTAAAAAATTTAAGACGACATCAATATCACCTGTTAAATAGGCCCCAAAAGATGGGTCTACCAAAAAAAAAGGCCCAAAAGAAAGAAAACCGAAATTCACATTTACAATTTGTTTTGAAACTCTAGTTAGAAGAGATAATCTATGATATAAAAGAAGAGAAACTATGTGTAAGAAAATAAGAGAGGAGATCAATAATTTATCTCACTTTAGCTTTAGATGGATACAACAAAATGAAGGAAACGAAATTAGAGATATTTTTAAGAGTATCAAAAAACAAACTCCTAATTCTCATTTCTCTCCAAATCTCTCCCCTTTTGGAGTTGGAGAGAATGAAAGTGGGCAGGATAAAATACTAGGCTAAAAAATTATGTTCTCTTCTCTCTATGCTTGGCCATGTTATCTCTTCTTACCCAACCCAAACAAACTTTTCAACGGTTTTTTTATAATGTTAAGGGTGATGGGGTGATGAGATGATCAGTTATGGGATTGTATTAGGTTTTGGGCATCTACGTCTTCAGAGTTTAGGGAGTTTACCTTTTATTTAACACATTTGGATTGGAAAGCAGTAGTATCATAGAGATAAAGTTTTTCATGTGAAATGTGGTAGGGCGGTGTCTTAGTTGTAAGGCTATGGTTGTACATTTGGTGGATGTCTTGTTCACCGATTTGTGACTTGGTTCTAATTTCTCTATTTTGTTTTTAAGAATACAGAGTCGGGCTTTCTGGTTTTCTTGATAAAATTATGGTTTCTTACAAAAAAGAAAAACAAAGAAGCTATATCAATCAACTGAAACTAATTCTTTGCTGCATGATCTATAGGCTACATGATACACAAATGCAGAGCTAAAAGAATCAAATACTCCATAAATTGTAAGCCTGCAGTAATTCGTCTGGTTAAATCACACAATCCAGGATTAGAAATTCCATGGAGAAAGAAGGATCTGAAGGGACGCAATTACACTAATGACTGGTAATAACCACAAAAACATACAAAATATTAAGAAATTATAAAAACTTTTACCTCTACAATGACTAGGTTAGTGCACCTTAGGAATCCCAAGAATGCAGTTCTTAAAGAATACTGGATGCTGGAAGCATGGCGTCCTTTCACAATCTCAAAGTTTGGATCAAAATCTAATAGTGCAGAAAGAATGGTATTGTAATGAACCGGCCTCTTCCTTGCTATGGCTGCAAGACTGTCAAGCAAAAGAAACATTTTAGAGGAAAAGCACTTACTAATAAGAAGTAAGAAGAAAAGTGACACTTTAAGCAGATCTAGACATGAAAGCTAAATAGCAAAACGCAACTAAAGGTCAGGTTGTAGAAAAATATATACATGTTTGTATATTATTTTATATATATTAAATATATATGTAATATACACGTTATACATAGGTCACCACAAGCAGAAGAAAATAAGGTTTGAGCTTGCACAAATAGCTAGACATGCTAACAAATTAGAAAACAAAAAGTTTTTCAGTAACAAATGCATGCTCTCACCAGAAAAACTAACCACTTCCAGGAAATGAACATGAAGACTAGCAAAGCTAACCCAGAAGGAGTCTTTACAAAAGCACTACAAATTATCTCAACCATGTGCATACGGAAACAGAGAGAGAGAGAGAGAGAGAGAGAGAGAGAGAGAGAGAGAGAGGAGATGATCGAACAGGGAATGAAAAGCTGCAGTAGTGGGGGGAAGAAAACAAGGCAAAACCGGATTGTGAAGGAAATAAGAGGCAAAAGATGCATTTTCTTGCTTTCTGAATGCATGTATAGTGTGGTGGACAATCATCAAGAGCAAGATACTCTGATGTCATCAGAGTGAGGTCCACAGGGTTGAGAGAAAGTAGTGCACCTATTCTTCACAGCTTAATAACAAACCAGATATCATAGAATCCTCTACACACTTAAGATGTCAATAGACATTTTTTTCTGTACATCTAGTAACTTCCAGTGGTCCATCACGTCCTCACTGACTCTATTGAACCATATGTCTTGATTCTATTTGTTTGCTTACAACCTACATAGATGACTTTGTTCAACCAAGGCATTGCTCCTCAAATGTCTTAAGCAGGTTAAATATGTTGTCTATTTTTTTGGTCTTTACACATATAAATAAAACCTCAGTTCCCTGTGGCAATTAGATTAATGCAAACAATTGAAGCCAAAAACTTCATCTCTCATAGCATGAGGGTCATGCATACATCTGCCAGAAGCAAAATGCATCATCTAACAATCTGAAAGCTAAATGTGTGGGAATCACAGCAGACAAGAAGACTTCGTAAATGCTTGCCAGAGTAAATTAAGAACTACGGAGAAGGAAATGAAGGAAAAGCTAGGAAAAAAACTGCAACGGAACAATGAAGAACATGCAACTGAATAACTTATCAACCACTCCATTAAGCCACATAATTAAGTTAGGTTCTAGATAAAAATAATACACAAGATTTTTCCATCCAGGATTAACCAAGAGGATGATACCTCTGCAGCACAGCTACCGAGAACGAAAGTATAGATTCTACTTTTGTCTTCAACAATCTATCATATGGATGTTCATAAACTTAGTTTAAATGCTAACTATGCAATGGGCATTCCACTCATTATTCATTTTGCTTTCTATATAGGTGTCCCAGTTATATCCTTCTTACCATACTTTTGATATCATTTCCTCTTGTTAGCTTGGCAAGGGACTCCAAAAGACAGGTTCAGGTAACTTATTGGTGAAAAGCATACATAATACCAAAAGCTTCGGGCCACTTTATGAAACCAAGAAAGCATCTCCTTGGACACTCAGGGATATATAGCCCTACTAACTAAGCAAATAAGAAAAGTCGTGGACATGAAATGAGTACATATACTAGCGTAGATACACACCTTCATGATTAAGGATGAGAGGGTAAAATAGAACAAAATGTATCATGATTAAGATTCTTAGACCATATAAATTTTGTCCTTAAACATTGATCAACTGCAGCATAATACTTCATGAACCTTTTCTGGAACAAGCAAAAAACAAAAATAACTGAGATTAACTAAAAAAATCTCTAAACTCTCTTTCACTTCATTTAGAAATCATCGTTGCTGCATCAGAGGTCAATGTGATTAATTAAGTTTATACATCAGGCACACCTATTGAAGTATTTACAAGCATTGGAAAATTTATTCAACGATCCTAATTGAAGAAACGATAGCTTAACTAGGACAAGCAGCACGACAAACAAGGGCAAGCAGACACAACTCTCACTAAGTGGAACCCCTCAGCTCCACACATACTGTTGGCTAACCTAAAAGGAGACTCGGAGTGGCCCAAAAGAAATTAGAGCAAGTCACATATGAAAGGAAAGATTGATTACTATGCATCATAATGCATCACCAATACCAACCACCACTACCATCACTAATTCAGTTGCAACCACCTTGGCCACAAGTTGTAAGGAGTCGTAGTCTCGAGTTGACAACAGCCTCAGCTTAACTCATCCACCTAAATCTAAGTAAACAATTAACAGATAAATGAAGACTCATATTCACTATTGAGTCTTCAGGAAAAAAGTCTAGCACAAACATAAAGTCTACAATACAGCAGTACCACCATCCAGTTTCCGAATTAACAGCTACACTACTGGTAGATTAGCAAACAAATGTATTCTGATTCTAACCAAAACAGAAATATACATCCACATAGAACAATGCATCATATAAATATCTGATGATAATATCTCTATATATTTTGATGCTGTTGCAATCGACGTTATTAACATGGTGTGATGTCCATAAAACTATACACTGAAACCAAGTACCACACAATAATACTACACATCATTAGATAAAACAAGTAGCACATAGGCAATCTCTCTTTAATGCTGTGTTGTAACTTGTAAGAAGGGTGAAGAAAAACAGTATCTCCAGATCACTATATGTACCAACATAGGCGTTGCTTCCTACATTTACACAGCATCCAAGAAGAGAAATTTTCATGGAGCAAAAATTCTGCAGCAATAGGCTGTTATATCACATCAACCTGACATAAATTCTCACATTTCTATGTTAAAAGACTTTTAGACTATCCACAAACACAAGTTTGTTTGCATATTTTCTTAATACTCCCTTTTACGTGTAATAAGAACACGTTTCAAGCTGTCATATATCCAAAACACCAACATTATTAGCACCTTACTTCCCAGACAAGATGACAACACAATATCACATCTAAGTCTAACAAATTTTTTGTCATACATGCTTCCAAGTGCAAATCCTGTCATCAAAGACATTCTTGGATTTTTCCATAGTTTTTCTCTTTTGATGGTTCAAGGAATTCCACTATATAGCATGGAAACAGAAACATAACATAATTCTCATCTATGTGATTCATGTCCCAGGTACTAAGATGATTAGAATAGACTTCATGAAAATGAATGAAAACAATCAACTGTTGAGGCTAAAGCTTGGTTGACAAAGACATGATATAGAAAATTATGGTTACCAGGATAATGATGATGAAAATCTTTTCTACACTGGATTATTTTTCCTTTTCAATATAACTGAAACTCATATGAAATGCCAACAACCAATGTCTCCACTCAACTTCAGAGGCATTTTATTGATTGTAACTGATAGGTATTACTATGAGTCGACAACTCACTCAACTTCCCTGAACTGCAACTCTAAATTGCTCAAATCCATAACCCTCAGCACAATGAAATTAACAAGCAATAAGTGAATAATCTCTGCTGTTTGACCCTTTCAGTCTTCACATATGAAATATATTGGTATTAGAACTGTTAATAAAATCATTTCAAGTTTCAAGCCTAATTAGATGGTCTAGGCAGACGTTTCAATATTAAGGAACCAGGTCCACATCACCTATATTTACAGAAACATGGGATATTACAACAATTTTTATTTGCAATACTCTATGTAACATAATGTGTATGCATATAACTCCATGTATACAAACCAGTGTTACAAAGAACTCAATATGTGAGATGGAGAACAAACAAAAAAACATATTGAACAAGGTTAAAAAGAAATTTGGATTATTAAATGTGTTAAACGTGTACCAGCTGTTATAAAATAATCAATACATTTTTCAAATAGCTCACACATTATTAGCTGTATGTGCATACAGCCTAGAAACTTAAAACAATGGTAAAGTAAATGGTCTCTCTAACAGTTTACAAACATAAACTGCGTTGCTTGACCACCATGTTTCCCTCAGCACAAGAGATGATCATTTTATCCATCAGTTATCCAATCTTATCACTGATCAATGTTGCTCCAAAGTACCCCAAAAAATTGCAGTTTAACATGTCTAGCCCTGTAACTCCCATTATCTGAACCACCAATGCAGCAGTGTCCAATGCCATTACCTCCTCATAAGAGAGCTGGTCAGCATGCTGCAATAATATCACAAACAAGCAGTTGAACTTGTACTAAAGCTGTTCCCAAGATTCAGTGATCCCTCCATAAATTTAAAGATGGTTAAACTGATGACAAAAAGTATACCGTCTATGTGTTAAATATTTAAGGTCTTCATTCATCTGAAGATATTTAACGGAATCAGTAATGGTGAAGAAACATGATAGCATCACTTTGAATTACAACCAAATACATTCATGTTGCAACTTCTAGTGACTAGTCACCTCTTTGCATGGAAGGATGAATATTGGACACAAAAGAGACTTTGGGTGGGGGGGGGGGGGGGGGGGGGGGGGGGGGATTTTTGTTTTGTTTCGGATATAAGAACAGCAAGCATGCTTGAAAACTTGGCACAAAATAGATGCATACAGTCATAATGGTAACTATGTTTGAAAAACTTATATGCATTTTTCTTCCTTTTCATCATCCAAAACTTATCGTGTTAAAACAATATATGCCTGATCCATACATTCAGTGACCCACCAACAATAGGCATACAAAAACATTGTAAATTTAAGTTGTATTCAGATAATATGTACTCCATAAACATGTATCCAGAACAAAAGATAGTACAAGCTTTTCATTCTCGATTTGCAAGGGAAATCTACAGAAAATGAAAACTAACGCAAACCCGCAGCTCTCTCATGTTACTGTGGTAAATAACACATAGATTCAATAAACTTGAACATTACCGCTTAGGATGAAGGTTTCGATATCCGAATGTTAATTTATTCCTACCTTGCTGATTAAGAATATGAGATTTGGCTACCAAAAGAATATAACAGGTCAAATGCAAAATCAGTCCATACACTGCACTCAATGTTCAACAATCTTTAGATGCTATAAATTTTATCCTATTTTTTATAGGACATGTTTCATTCTACTTATTTCCCATGTATTTTTCCATTTAAAGATCCACGTCCATGATAAGAACTCATAGAAGAGAAACAGATTTCCCAATCATGAGAATATTATGTAATCACACAAAATACAGAGCAATAAACAAAATCAACAAAGAACTTACTACCAGCAAGTGAGCACTCACCAATTTACAATGGCAATTGTCACGCAACCAGGGAGGCTACCAGCCGACCGCAACAAATTTAATAGAATGCCAACAGTCCTATTTGCTTCTGACATGAGTATATATGGGTCAAGAATAGGGTGTCCACCAACCAGCCACGAAACATTAAAAGCCCTTTTACTTGCTGTTGTATCTACACAACCAAATTAACACTCAAACCAAACTTCAAAATTCATGAAAGCTCAAATTCCATAAGACTGAAAAAGGCATTAGGTAAAAGACAATGCAACTTCCTAAAACCTACACTACACCATCTCAGTAAGACCGTTCTTCTGGTGAGACAGTAAGACTGTTTCATGTTCAATTTATTTGAGAAAAGAAAAGAAAAAGGCCATCAAAGGTGGAATGCGGTACCTTCTACAACAGGTTTTTCAGAGCCATTGGCGTCAGAAGTGAATAGCAAAACATATGTTTCCAAGAATTTCAATGCAAGCAACTTCGTCCCTACAGAACCAGGCTACAAAATCAAATTAAAGCAAATTTCAGGTTAGAAAAATATATAGCCAAAAGTTTATTGTATTCAAAATACAAATGTTATACTTTCTTTAGCCACCACCGATAAAGGAATGAAATGGAAATGCAAGTCGAGGTACAATTGAATTTAAATTTCAAACACATAATTCCTACTATTAAATTCATAGAGCAAAGACCACAAAAATTCAAACAGAAACGAAATCATAGATGTCTATTGTAGTAAAAGCCAGGTCTTCCGTGAGATCAACGAATATTATCCCCCTAAATGATAAACCGAGTAAGCAAATAGACATGCTATAACAAAGGCCAAGAAGTAGACATTCAAATCCACCAATTCTAGGGCATCCTCCATCTTGGACCCCAACACAGTCACATGTCCTCTCCAGCAGTGCAGACTAGAATTCAGAACTAATCTAACATCTTGATGCACCAATTCATGAGGACTAAATTTTATGCATGATGTCCTTTCCATAAAAAACCACTAAAACATCCCTTAAAACAGCACTCCCATTCCTTCTCATGATCCACACTACCACCATATGATTAAAAGAGAATAAGAATAAGAAAAATTAACAAATAATCTAAATTTTCTTGTTCCATATGAATATTAATTCCAAACATGTAAATAAAATTTCCAGTACTTAAAGAATCTATAGCAGTGTTCTCCTTTTGAAGGTTTCTTCTACAGTAGGAGTCAAATAGAAGTATCATATAGGTTAATTCTATTTAGAGACACATATGACGATATGAGCATACTAAACTATGGTTTCTTTTATTATTCAAGCATGCATATGTGAAGGATACAGATGAGATTTTGTACATTATAGTTCAGAATATGCAGACAAACATAAGCAAGTTACCACCTACCTCTAATGCAATAGTGAAAACCGCATCCTTAAACTTGGCCATCCACAACCAAAGTTCTTCAAGCCATATCTCGACTTTACCTCGCCGGTGAAACTAATTAAGACCCATAAGCATTCAAAAAATTTAGAATATGGTTCGAAAAAAGAAGAACGAACTGTGAATTAAACTAGACTAAGAAATATACAATGCTTCCATCAGATAAGTATTTGAACATATAAAAATACGCTTAGTACGTTACAGATTACTTTTTACCTCTAGCATATAGCTAGAAGGTACTCGCAAACATGAACAATTCTTTTTCTTCTAAAAGAATGCACAAAATCTGGGAAAAATTATTTCGTTACATTTATTCTGGTAAAAATGAATTGCGTTATTTCAAAAGAGGCTTGCTCTTTGGAAGGTCTATCTCTTGTCTGGTATTAACTCGAACCTTTATGAGTGCGGAGCATCATTATCTAGGAGGAGGAAGCTCTTTTCTCTCATTATGTTTATGGAAAGTGGAATACTTTTCTTCTAATTATCAAGGGAAAGTAGGAGGGGAATTGCAAAACAAAAAAACTTATAAAAAGATTAATCAAAACGCACTTGTTCAGTATTACAACCATCTTCAATATAACATGTTAAGTACAGACGTGTTTTTCTTTTCTTTTCTTTTTTTTGGCTAATATCTGCATATGAGCTGTTGAGTCTGTTGACCTCAAAAAAAAAAAAAAAAAAAAAAAAAAAAAAAAAAAAAATGTCGTTGCATGTTCTATGTTTGTATACGCCTGCAAATTTGTGCGCACATGTATGAGATGCGTGTGTACGGAGATGGACAAACAGACAGAGAGAGAGAGAGAGGAGACCTGCAATGTCATCTCCTCCAAGACACTAACAAAGAAATTTGTTCCACTAACTATAGATTGCCGTGCAACAATAGAGTCATTGTCCTTCAAAAATTCCAATAAGACAGACATTAGTACAGAAGATTCCTCCATTGCTTTCAATCCAATCTCCTCAACGACCCTGCCAGTCACAAAGAATAATAGATTATAATTAAGCTTGACCTCAAAAAAGAAATTCTAGCCCTTACATATATGACAATCAAGTACGCATGCAACAAGCTTTAATAGCATAATCAGAGGCATAAACCCACAAAAATAATCATGGTGCAATGGCGGTAACAGTTCTAGTCTATTTCTTCTGAGTTATATGACCAACGCTTCTGTTGGAAAGACGACTAGTTAGCATCAGAATAAAAATACTTTGCATAAGTCAATAAATTCATTGAGTAACAAAAGACAAAACTAAGATTCCTCCTTAAAAAGAAAGAGGTCTATCAAATTTTGGTATAATTGAGCGAATTAACAAAATAAAGATCCAAACTTTAATTTCACTGAACTTGCACACCAAAAACTCCTATACATATAATTGTATCTGCAGAAGGTCACCTACGAAACCAAGTTCAACAGGATAAAACTTTAAATTCCATACAATTCAAGCAAAAAAAGGCCTACAAAGTCAAAAGCAGCTATAACATGCTTTCGCAATCAATCGTATTGCACTTGCAAGTTGTAGAATATAGGGTTTCAAGAACTCACTCGATGAGAGATAACCGGACAAGGGTTTCGGGGGAGGACTGGAGCTCGATCAGGTAGGGGAAGAGCTCGGCAGCCACAGATGGATGGATGGATAATAAGATATCTTTGGCCTGCTTTAAAGACGAGAGCTTGACGGCCAAATCGCCATGATTGTTGACCGTGGCGAGGAGAGAAAGAGCTTGGTCGCTGGGAGCTGCTCCGGCCATTCTTAGGTGACGACTGTTTAGACTTGAAGCCGGTGGTAAATCAATTTGGCGTCTTAGGGTTTTGAAAAGGGGAAGAGAGGGTTTTGGCGCGGTTGGGGTAGAGAGAGAGAGATAGAGAGAGAAAACTTACAGCCTCCACTCTACAAACAAACCCAAACTTGTGACCTAATCGACTATGGCTAATGGCTAAGCCACTCTGCAACTCCTACCTCATCAACAATGGCAGAACTCTGATACCGATTTTGAACGAGAGAGGGCGAGAGGGGAAGGGAAGGGATAGAAAAAGGGGTTTGCTCCTCAAGACGGTGCGTTTCAACTTAAATGAAATAGAGAAGCCTACCAAACCATACGACGTCGTAATAAATAAGAAAATTAAAAATATAAATAAATAGATAAAACACGCGGGCTCTCATCTACCTCGCGCAGCTGGGCCTCACAGAGACAGAAAGCGGCGCCTCACTGCGCGAACGTTAAGCGTGCGAACAGCGCGAAGGCCTCCGGAGATTTGCTGCCGCCTCGCATCGACGCGTGCTTGGAGGCTGAAATCTTAACTGGCAGTCAGTTTGTTGAGGAAATTCAGTGAGGAAGTATGGGTAAGTTTCATCTTTATCGTTATTGTTTTAATACATTCCTCATGCGTTTTCGTTTGTGTTCTATGCCTATGGTTTGAGTATTTGAGGAAGATGGAGAAAAAAAGAAGAAGATTAATTGATGCAAATTTAACAGAGAAGTCGAGACGAGAAAAGCGAAAAGAGGCTCGCTTGTCGAAGAATGCAAGAAATCATGAGTCGTGGCTCCAACATAAGGTACCGTGTAGCAGCAAAAATATGCTCTTTTTTTCTTCTGTTTTCTTTGGCAGCAAATTTTTCTTATGGATTTGTTTTTTTAGTTGTAAAGGTTGTTCTTTTGATGCTATGTTGTCAAAACTTTTTCCAGTTGAAACCTTAAGTTTGGGATCTTTTATATAAATATACTGTGAATTTAATGTGTGCAGAAAATTCAAAAGGATAAAGCTATTTTTGTCAAGTCAAAAACTGTACAGAAAACAAAAGATGAGCATACAGCTGAGGAAACAGAAGTTAAAGCTAGATCAGAGTCTCCGGAACAGAAGGATCATAAAGTATCGAAGGCGGTTGAAGAAGAAAAGGGGTCGAAGAGAACCCCAAAAACGAATTTTGAAAAGTATCTTGACATAGATAGGAATAGGGGGGAGGAGGATTTGGAATTAGAAAGGAAACTTGCTAAGAAACTCAAAGTGAAGGATGGAAAATTGAAGGGTGAGGATTTTGGTCTTAATGTGTTATTTGAAGGGATTTCAGCTGTTGATTCCCTTGGGGAAAAAGAAGCTACATATGTTGAGACATTACCTGCCAAACAATCTAAGAGTAGCTCTTCAGGCAAGAAATGTAAAAAGGATAAGCCATTGAAGGACAGGCTAGAAAATGAGCTACCTAGTGACTTAATGGTTGAAGTTCCTGAGGTGGCAGTAACTGATGGTGTTGAGGTGGAATCTGAAGATGTTTCTTCCAAGATATCATTGAGGAAGAAACATAAGAAGAGAAAGTTGCTGGAGGGGACAGTAGAAGCCGGTGACATGTCTTTTGATGTATCTAAGAAAATGAAGTCATGTGCTACAGAGATGGCATTAGAAAAGGCTCCTGTGAAGGCACCTGAAAAATATGTTGCTCCTCACTTAAGGTCTCGTGCAGGCAATGAGCCAGAAGAGCATAGTCAGATCCGCAGACGAGTACGAGGTCTTCTGAATAGGCTGTCTGAATCTAACGTGGAATCTATTACAGGAGACCTGTCTGCTATATTCCGTTCCCTTCCTCGTGGCATCGCATCTCAGATGTTCAGTGAGGAGCTTTTAGCATCTTGTGCTGGCGGTCCTCGTGGAAATGAACAGTTAAGTTTTAATTGTTCTATTTCATGCTTATCTTTTTTCCCTTATGGTTGGGTCACATGAACTTACTAAAGCTTGATACTATCATACTAGTATCTTCAAGTGTAACTTGCTTCATGGAGATTTGTAGTTTCATTGTGTGGCTTGGAATTGGATTTGTTGAGCAGCATTATAAAATCTCCTCTTGCCAATGTGTTTTCTGGTGTAATATATGTTGGTCTTTAAATGAAAATTTTGTCGTCATTAAAATAGATTTCGTCTATGTCTTTCATAAGTTTTGCGAACAAGGACTTAAGTTGATCTGCATGTTTGCCCCTTCCTGTGTTCACAACAGGATCAAAAATTTACTTTGGGGCCGTAATGGTTAATAGAGATTATAGAAATTCCTAGGAGGAAATATATCATCCCCAGTGAATCATTGAAGAACTTTGGTTATTGGCTTTCCTGTGAAGGCAGTCAGATATGAAAGATAGATCTATAAATAAACTTTCCCATTTTATGGTATCTCTCAAATAATTTTTTTGAATCCTTCTTTCTCAAGAGGTACTGTTGTATTCATTTATGTAAGTTATTAGTATTTCTCCTTTTTGTTGAAAGCTTTTCTTATACTGTCTGAAGAATTTTAGTAGATAAATTCTAACTATAGGAGAATCAGTTAGTTTTCCCTTCCCATTTTGCCTAACATGGAGCACAGCAAGTTATCTTTACGGAGACAGCATATTTCATTTAGTTTATTGATCAGAGCTTTTAGATTTTCACATATCAAAAGTCAAACAGATTATAGCTGTCCATTGCTATTGTACATGATATACTGTTCCTTGTAAATTTGAAGATGATTGTTTATGTTTTGATCAGATCACTAAATTTTTTCCATCATAATTGGCTATAAAGCTAATCCTTTTTTCTATTATAAAAAATTTATATAAAAAATATAAAAAAAAATTAGTGTTTCAATTCGTCCTTGTATTGACTTGTTTATGCGTTTTTGTTGTGAAGATATGCTGCTGTTTTTGCCGCTCTTGTTGCAGGCATGGCCTGTTCAGTAGGAATTGACTTCGGTGCAAAGCTTATGGCTTCACTTGCGAAAACTTTTGAGGTGGGTCAATAACTTCTTTGAGTCTAATGATCAATTATTTCAAAAGCTTTTGATTTAAAGTTATACATCTGGTTTTCTGTTTTAGGATGAATACCACAAAGAAGACAATATTTCCTTGAGAAATGTTACTCTTTTACTTTCTCATTTATGCATATTTGGAGTTTGCTCAAGGTAAGCCACATTTATCTCAAACATTTATTACAGTGATCTTTATTTGAGTTTATAAATTTTGGCAGGTTAGTTTCCACTCACTAAACCTTTCTAATGCCTCATAAAATGTTTGCTTTGATTGAAAAGGAGTTGATCTTGACGTTAGCATCGATAATTGTAGTCTAGTTCTTAAGTTCCTTTACAATCATTCATCATTTCCAGCTAGGTTTCAAACATGGCTGTGCATTACATCACAGTACAACTAAAAAGTGGCTTCTATTTACGTGAATCTAAGGGATTAACTGTCAATATAGCATGACACAGTTATATGCTTGGTTATTGATAGAAAAAAAGGGGAGAAATATTTGCAATAATTCTAGAAGCTAAATCTCTTACTGGAGCTACCCTATTAAAGACTTTTTTTCCTATTTTTTATCTAGACTATTAAAGACTTGTTCTTTGATTAGTAAATTACATTTTTCTCCAGAGTTCTGTTTCAATGAGTATATGTAACAATGTTTCCTGCGATGGAAAACCCCTTTTCTAATTGCTGTTCTTGTGGTGATGCTTTTCAGTGAATTGATATATGACTTTCTGATTGTTTTGAGCAAGCGGTTAACAGAGGTTGATGTCTCTACAATCTTGACAGTTTTACAATGTAAGCCTTTTTGAATTTCTACCATGAGCATCTATGTATGAGGCCTTAGCGTCCATATTTTTTTTTTTACATTTTGACTTGGACATGTTAACTTTCATTGCTGACAACAAGAAGCCGCAGATGTGGCATAGTGTTATTAACTTCTTGGCAAAGAGTTGCATGTTAAGCCTGCATTCCTATATGAAAATATAACTTCATATTTCTATCATGCTGTGTTTCTGCATTTTGTCTGTCTCTGTTCATGTTTTTAGTATTCTTTTGCAGAAGCATTATCTACTGTACTCTCAAATTAATTTGAAACGTCATTAAGGCTCGTGAAATTACAAATAATTTCTAACAGGAATTGTCATTAATCAAACAGGCTGTGGAATGAAAATAAGGGCTGATGATCCTCTTGCAATGAAAAATTTTATTCAGAGTGTTCAGAATAGAGTGAATGAGCTAAAAGCCTCCTGTGGAGATAACCAGGATAATACCAACAGCAAAAGAGTAAGCTGTACATCTTTACTGTGAGAACTGTTCTAAACCTTTGCATCAAAATCTGACAGTTATAATATGATACTTGCAGATGGAATTCATGCTTGAAACTATATGTGACATCAAGAACAACAAAAAAAGGTCTAAAGAAGATAATGCACAGCATACCAGGATAAAGAAATGGCTACAAAAGGTTTTAATTTCATTTACATTTTCTTTACTGTTGCTTCTTTATTTTAGCTTGGGATTGTTGTGCAAAATGTGATCAGGTGTTTTTTTTACTGATCAAATTATATTGTGCACATAGGCTGAAGAGGCTTCTATCACAATTAAGTGCCATGTGGAGAGAGGGTCAAAATGCTCCACCTTTGTTGATACAAAGTTTACAAACTGCAAGTTTAAGCTAGTTTAGAAACAAAGTATTCTGGCATAGCTATGGTAGTAGAGATTTTTCAGGAAAAGCATTTGCATCAGTTGGGCGTTTTTAAGAAGTGATACCCAGAAGCTGCCCGTATCACCAAAAGCAAAGAACTCTGTTATTGGCTATACCAAAGGGTATAAGTGAAGTTTAGTTAAAATTACAAGGCTAATATTGATTCGTTAAAATGATTCAACATAAGCTGTTCCTGGAAAAGCTGCAAATTGGTTCTTCTCCAAAAACCCATTTTCCAGCTTCCATGGGGATGGAAAAAGCAGCTTTTACAGTGCAAACAAACAGCTTAAAGAAACACACACAAAAAACAAACAAAAGAAATTATATTTCCACAAAAAGCACTCTTTGATAAGCTGTGCCAAACAAGCATTAATTAAACAATTTAGAGGTATAATCCAAATTCGGTGTTAGGGTCATTTGGATTCTTTAAGTCTAGTTAGTTGCTGGTTATGACAATTTCATTCTAAACCAGGTTATTGTAAACTTAAACCTAATCCCCTTTTTCAACTAACCTTAACCTAGTCTTTTGATACATTATACTAGTTTGTCTATGTCCTTGTGCTTTGTGATCATTCTGGCAGCAAATGTTCTCCTGATGCCAACCAATATTTTACCTAATTTAGTTTTGATGTAACCTTTCCTTTCTTTTACCAATAAACGTTGGACTTAACCGCCCTTCTTTACACCCTACAAGCTAATGAACTATGTGAGTTAGGTTGGTAATATCTACTTGACGATTGGTAGTTGTTAACCTGTGTATTCCTGTGCTTCAATCTGCACCACTCTTAGCCCATCTATATCTTTTAGGTTGTTCTAACACTCAAATTAGAGATTATATGTTTAGTTGTATAAAAAAGGTAGTTTAATTATATGAATAGCCAATGGAGAGAAAATGTGCAAAAAAATGCAAAAGCAGAGTAGTTATATTAAGTGATGTAAGGGTTATTGCCAAGCCCAACTGAGTCTCCCACCCCTTTCCATCCTGGTAAAGGTTAAATTTATTCTTATGCCCATGGTTCAAAACAAAGAGACTTTTAGCTGGCACCTTTGTCTGTCATGTGATTCTGGTAATTTAGAGAAATATGAGACAGTATTAATTACTAATTGCTGAGATATTAGGATGAGGAAAGCTATTATGAGGTTTCCCTTATCTGCTTTGGTTGTTGCCTCTCTCTCTTTCTCTCTCTCTGCCCTGGATATTCGTGAGGAATGTTGAAAATGTAAAACCAATTATGCATCCTTTTAGCAAAGCTTACTATAATTTCATTAGGAAAAGGTTAGAGCAAAGACCATGAACTTGATAAAGTACATTCCGGGCTAAGGTTGATGACTTTTCTTGGCCCAATGAAAATGCCAAAACTTTGATAAGCATGCCTAGATGACCTGACATAGTGCAGAGCTAATGCTCTCATGATAAGAAAAACTATGGTAGCCATGTCCTAGTGAGAGAGATATAAGTGCCATAATTTTGTTTGTTAGACACTGAACAAACATTTGTGTTAGACATTTTTGTGGCTTTCACCAGGTTTCATTGTCTTTACATTCGATAATTATTATTTTTTTCAGTTGAGGGTAGAAGACATTTTAATAAGAGGGCTCAAATGGAGCAAACTAGTTGATTCTAATAAGAAGGGCCAATGGTGGTTATCTGGGGATATGGCCTCATCAACAGACAACGTTGAAGAGGTTGCCAACACAATAGACAAAGAGGTTCTTGAAGCCCAGAAAATGCTGCAGCTTGCTGCTGAACAGAGAATGAACACTGATGCCAGAAAGGCAATCTTTTGTATAATTATGAGTGGGGAGGATTATATTGATGCATTTGAGAAGCTTCTAAGATTGGATTTGCAAGGAAAGCAGGTGGGTGCCATCTGATTTGGTTATTTATATACTCTCTTTTTTCTGTCATCTTCTATTGTCTTGAAAAATTAATTTTTCTATGTTCTATGTACAGGACAGAGAGATCATGCGAGTAATTGTGGAGTGCTGTTTGCAGGAGAAAGTGTTTAACAAGTATTACACCACCCTGGCTTCCAAATTCTGTGAGCATGACAAAAATCACAAGTTCACTTTACAGGTATTTTTTCTGTCCATTTCACAGTTAAGATGGCATATAATTGGGAATAAGGAAGATGTAGAAGGAAATTGCTAGCGCTCCTGTTTAGTAATTCTGACTTATTCATAAGCCTATCACAATTTGATTGCCTTGCCAAGTATTCGTAATTTGTGTTCTATTATACGTGGTCTTTATGTGACCAATTATTTTGGTTCTATTATCTGTAGTCTGTATGTCACTCAGCCTGCGTGTGGTATTGACCTTGCAAGGGTGAGTTTTGAATATTGCTTGTCAAGAAACTGATGTAGTGCGGATTGAGAACCTTATAACGTATCGTTGAGGGGTCTGGGTCGTAGAAGAAAACTTTATCTAAGGAGCAAAAGGGACTTGTTTTATATATTAAAAAAAACATGTGGTTGTTGGGACCTTCTGATAGCAGTGGAAAGCAACTTTTGAGGGCAGAGGTTGTGGAAACTATGTGAATAGGTTTTATTTGGGGAGCCAAGGGAAGAGAACTGAAGTTTAAAGAGCGGATCAAAATACGGGATTTGTGTAAGAACTGATTTAAATCTAAACTGTTTGAGACAAACTTTCACAACTGTTAACATGGGCAATCTCAAATGCATGTGGGCTCCACATCTAATGCGTAATCATGGGAAAGAATATTTGTCAATGAGAATTGTAAGTAAGATTAGTTTAATGCTTTTGCTTTCTGAGTTCTCCTCTTTACTTGTCTAACAGGGTCACTCTCTACATGATTTGTGAGCACTTTTGTGGCTTATATGTAATTGTCGTGCATAAATGATTTGATGGTTAGTTCAAGTTGCATTTCCATTTTATTTCTGTTTCGTGTCACCATTTATGAGTTTTTATTTGATTTTAGAAATGTATCGATGATTGAAGCATTGAAGTAGTTGATATGTAGAGCTGCATTACTATGTTTTGCAAATAGCAAAAACGCATATGTGGGCGCTAAAGTTCTAGAGTGGTCCACCAAGGGAAAGGAGAGTTCAAGCCTCGTGTCTCTCTTTTTCATTAGGAACCAAAATTGCGGATATGTCCTTGCAGTAAATGCTTAGTGAAAACTTTTTATTTAGACCTTAGATTGATTTTAATGTAAAATGCAGAATCCAGATTAAATATTAGCCTTCTATTATTTATAAAATTCTGAAAATTTCTGGTTTTTTAGCTTTCATCTTCTAATACTTCCTGTATCTGTTATTCCTCCACAGTTTTGCCTTTGGGACCATTTCAAAGATCTGGAGTCAATGCAGCTTACTAGGTCAATGCACCTAGCAAAGTTTGTAGCAGAGATGGTATCCTCTTTCACTCTCTCCCTTGCAGTGCTGAAGACAGTAGATCTAGCCGACATCAAGCAGCTAACAGCAAAAAGGATAATGCATTTCCGGATGCTTTTTGAGGCCATCTTTGAGTATCCTGATAGCCTAATTTGGAATATATTCACGCGTGTAGCTGTTTCCCCAGAGCTTGAAAGTCTTCGACATGGGATTGAATTTTTCGTCAAGTATATTGTGGAAACCAATAAAGCCCTCAAGGATAAGTTTAAGCTTGCAAAGAAAGCCCTGAACAATGTTGAAGGAGTTCTCATGTGATTTCACTAATTACTCTCTGGCTCGACCAAATTTTGTAGTCTAGATTTTTGTTTGGTTACCCACTAATTGGATGATAGCATGCACTTGTTTATTTACTCATTTATTCAAGTAAATATATGTGAATGAGGAAAGCATGCTTGTAAGGGAGGAACATGCATGATGCTTGGTTTGCTTGTTCATTTATTTATTTTGCAAAGCTAACCACCTTCTGGATGTGTAGCGTTTTTAGCCGTTACTGTTATTTTTTGGGAAAAATTGCACAAGTGGCACACTTTTCCACTTTTTTGCAATTAGCGCCCGAACTAAATTTTCTTTCTAATCAGCTACTCGAACTTCACGGGCTGTTACAATACAAAAATGGAAACAAAAATTGATATAGCAAAAATTAACACACATATTTTACCTATAAAAAGGTATGGGACAGATGATTAGCAGGTAATTGAGCTTTATGTAGTTGTGATCCTAGTTAGCATTTTTCCGTTTAATACTCGTATTATACACATACGTATGTATTTTTAATAGTACTTTTGTTTTCCATATACATCTTAAAGACTCCATAAAATATACCTTTTTTTTATAAGCAAACAAACAATTCATGTATTATACACGCATGTATGTATTTTTCACGTTCAATACACATTTTTTACAAAATTTTGAATGATACAGACAAAATTCATGTACTATCTACGTATTTTTTACATATTGTTGAAATATATATATAGCCGCATGGCTCTACTATTTTCTAAAGAAAAACAAAGCAGCCATACTGTGAAAATAGTACAGCCGCTCTTCTATATTGTTTTTAAAAAAATTCAAAACGCTATACTGTTTTTAAAAAAATTCAAAACTAAGTATAGCCCTATGGCTATACTATTTTTAATATATAAAAAAAGACCCCCCTAGCCATTAGGCGCCACGTATCAACACGTCTTTTAAAAAATTAAAAATATGGAGTATAGCTGTCACATCCCGGGATCGGCTCCGCCGTAGCACAATATTGTCCGATTTGGGCCCCCCTCTCTACCCTCACGGTTTTGTTTTTGGAAGCTCACGAGCAACTTCCCAGTGGGTCACCCATCCTGGGATTGCTCCAGCCCCCAACTCGCTTAACTTCGGAGTTCCCATGACTCCGAAGCCAGTGAGCTCCCAAAAGGCCTCATGCTAGATGGAGGCGGTCATGTACATATAAGGCACATCACCTAATCTCCGTTGGTCGATGTGGGATGTTACAATCCACTCCCCTTAAGGGCCCGACGTTCTCGTCGGCACACTCGCACCACACGGCAAAGTGGCTTTGATACCAAATTGTCACATCCTGATATCGGCTCCGCCGTAGCACAATATTATCCGCTTTGGGCCCCCTCTCTACCCTTACGGTTTTGTTTCTGGGAGCTCACGAGTAACTTCTCAGTGGGTCACCTATCCTGGGATTGCTCAAGCCTCCAACTCGCTTAACTTCGGAGTTCCCATGACTCCGAAGCCAGTGAGCTCCCAAAAGGCCTCGTGCTAGATAGAGGCGGACATGTACATATAAGGCACATCACCCACTCTCTGTTGGTCGATGTGGGATGTTACAATAGTCGTGCGGCTATACCCCATTTTTTAAATAAAGAAGAACCTCTATCGATTAAAGCCACGTGTCAAAAAAAAGTATAGCCGCACAAATATACTATTTTTTTATATAAAAAATTGTAGTATAGCAGAACGACTATACTATTTAATTAAAAAATTAATAATAAAAAAGGATCCTCCTAGTTCCATTAGTTTGTACCTTATGGATATTAATTTGCAACATATCCAAAGTAGATATTAATCTTCAACTGTGTAATATTGTAATATAATTTTTATAACATATGTTATTCTTATTCAATAATATGTGAGAATTATTTATCTAATACGTGAATTTTGTGTGTCTTATTGAGAATTTTGTAGAAAATTAGTGTATAAAACATTAGAAATACCTACGTACATGTACAATACGACTATTGTATGTTTGCTTTTTAAAGAAAACGTGAGACATGTATAGAACACAAATGTATTGTTGAAAAGTACGTACCTACATAAGTATATATATAGACTATAGCCCGCTCGTCTATACTATTTATTAAAGACAATTAAAAATAAACATCAGTAACGCCGCCTGGCTATACTTTTTTCTTTTAAAGAAAAAGAAAATAGGTATAGCCGTGCGGCTATACCTTTTTCTAAAGGAAAAACGGAGCAGCCCTACTGTCTGAAAATAGTATCTATACTATTTTTTTTAATATAAAAAAAGACCCCCAGCCATTAGGCTCCATGTGTCAACACATGTCTTTAAGAAAACATGGAGTATAGCCGTCCGGCTGTACTTCTTTTTCTTTTTTTTTCTTTTTTTTTAATAAAAAAATCGTAGTATCACCACATGGCTATGCTATTCAATTAAAAAATTAATAATAAAAAAGGACCCTCCTAGTTGCATTAGTTTGTACCGTATGGATATTAATTTGCAACATATCCAAAGTAGATATTAAACTTCCATTATATGATATTTTAATATAATTTTTATAACATATGTTATTCTTATTCAATAATATGTGAGAATTATTTGTATAATACTTGAATTTTGTGAGTCTTCATTAATTTTGTAGAAAATATGTATAGAAAACATTAGAAATACATACGTACATGTACAATTCGACTATTGTATGTTTGCTTTTTAAAGAAAATGTGAGACGTGTATAGAAAACGAATATATTATTGAAAAATATGTACCTACATATGTGTGTATATATATGTATGTAAAAAGACTATAGCCACTCGTCTATACTATTTATTAAAGACAAATTTTTATTTTAAAAAAAAACTAGTAACGCAGCCCGGCTATACTATTTTCTAAAGAAAAAAAAAGAGCAGCCCTTCTGTGTGAGAATAGTATAGCCGAGCGGCTATACTCTTTAAAAAAATTTCAAAACTGAGTATAGCCGTCCGGCTATACTATTTTGTATTGTTGATATTATTTGTCACTTGTAATATATAATAAGAAATTATTTTTACTATTATTATGTTCATTTAAAAATATTCGCAAACATACAAATTTGTAAATTGTAAGTACAAGGTCGAACCCATAATGACTGTATATTACAAGCAAACTAATCTAACCCAAACAAATTTAACCCTAACCTAACCTAGTTCAACAAAACTGATTATAATTTAAAAGATTGAAGCCAATTAATACCCAAATGTCTTAGTCCCAATTTATACTCAACTAAGTGCAATTCTAGCCTTACTTTTGTTTTTTGTTCGGTGAACCCTCACCCTTTTTCTTGTTATGCCTCGTTTTTTCTCCCTATTCTTCCTCTCGCTCATTTTCTTCTCTCTCCTCTTCTTCACTTCTCTTTATTTTTTTCATCTCTCTCTCTTCTTCACATCTTGCTCAATTTGATAAATCGATGGCTTGTAGTCGTCATCTCTTCATTGCATCTCATTTACCCAAATAGAAAATTGAGCCAATTGAACTAAAATTGTACCACTTCAGATTAGTTTAGTTACCTTAGACATGAAAACCAAACCAAACCATACAACGTGTAAGTTTTGATTTTAAGAGATAAATCAGACTGAAACGGACCATGCCCACCCCCTACCTTTTTTAGGACTTTCTATTACATTTTGGGTGATTTTATTGGCACCCCATTATTTGCTCTTTACACCCCATACTAATTTTAAATATAAATAACCTATTTTACCCTTGTACACAATTACCGTTAAGAACAAAAAAATTTAAAATTAAAATTAAAATTGCTCACTACACCCCACATATGTTCCTACAACCTTAGTTTGACTTTTTTCTCAAACTATCATGTTCCTAAACCCTAAACCCTAGATTTATAAGTTTATACTGGTCAAAAAATATCTTGTATTTATTCTTGAAAGGTGAGATTGAAGTTAGAGAGGCTTCGAATGAGGTACGAGTTTATTTTTTGGCATTTTGCAAGTTTAGTATTTCATAACGGTCGCTGATTGCGTTCAGCACATCAGTACTGAACGCGACAGGTAAATTTGGTGGGATGCCACCGAAACGTTGCACCATTTTCGGTTGGGTTTGACGGGTCAGCAACTTAATATTCGATGGAGATCCACCGTAAGATGGAACGTAGTTTAGTGGTTTACTATCGAAATTTTACATGTGTTTCAGTGGCATCCAACCGAAATTTATTTATTTATTTAGTAACTTATTGCCGACCACAAATTTAATCCAAGCTATTTTGATCTTACTCCCATTGAAGGAACAAAATCAAGGTGACGCCCTTACTGAAGGCAACAATGTGGTAACAGAATGTATAATGGACTATAGTGATCAATTCACAACTTATTCGGTAATTATTTGTCTGAAATCCTTTTTAGTATAATGAGCGTGGCATTAATGTTTCAAATTTTATATTTAAATAATATGAGTTTTATGTGTAGATATTCAATGGTAGAGATGCATTACTTTGATGGGCTCATGAACAAGGAAAATTGAATAATATTGTCATTGTAATTAAAAGGTCTGATTATGGAGGTGAGGGCAAGAAGTGACCTCGTGTAATACTTGCTTGTGAGAGGAACGGTAACTATAAGTCTTGCAAGTCTAGTGAGACAACTGATACAAGGTCAGATGCAAATAGTGATATGAAAAAATGTGCTAGGGACACTAGTACCAAGAAATGTGGATGCCCATTCTTGTTAAAAGGTGTCAATATTGGTGATGGGGATGATTGGAAGTTGGAGGTGGTTTGTGGAGTACACAACCATCCTATTTCAGAGTATCTTTAAGGTCATTCATTTGTGGGGCGACTTATTGAAGAAGAGAATGCCTTGTTGGTGGACTTGTCTAAGAGTTTGGTGAAACCCATAGATATTTTGGTCACCATTAAATATAGAGATGCAATGAATGTTTCAACTATGAAGACAATATACAATGCTAGGATCCGAAATAAAACCAAAGAATTTGCTGGGAGAACCCAAATGCAACAATTGCTTACTAATTTATTCGAACACAATTATATTGAGTGGCATAGGACATCTGGTGATATTGTAACTGACCTGTTTTGGACACACCCTATTAATATTGATATTTTGCGCGCATTTCCACATGTACTTATCATGGATTGCACCTATAAGACTAATAGGTATTGTTTCCCACTATTGCAAATTGTGGGGGTGACATCTACTAATATGACATTCTCTGTTGCGTATGTGTATATGAATGCCGAGAAGGAAGGCAATTACACATGGGCATTGACTGCATTGAGGAGTTTGTTGGATGATAATTGTCTTCCTGGTGTTATTGTCACCGATCGAGAGTTAGCACTCATGAATTCTAATCCGAGTTCTGCAAGACCTATTTTCCCATGAAAGATGCTCAACAATTCAATACTTTCTCTTGATAGTTGATCAAAAACCTGTCCAAGAAAAACTTCTTACTCTTCATCAGGATGAAGAATCTAGCCTCACTTGTCAGGTGATACCACCAGAATTGACAAAGGCAAGTTTCCCTTTCATCAAGCCTTCTTTTTAAAAAAAAAAAAAAAAAAAAAAAAAAAAAAAAAATATAGATTATCTCAGAGTATAATGAGTAATGCCGTTATAAAAAAAATATTCTATTGTAATGTTCGAAGCAGAGCAAGATCTAACTCTTTGTCTGAATCTGTGTCTGAAACATTGGAGAATCGTGCCCGTAACCATGACAAACTCACATACTCATCACTGTATTGGTGTAATTGTTCAGTAGCCTCTTCATTAGTCACTCCTAAGTACTTAACTAACAACTCAAAATTTGTGTCGTCGTCGTCATCTCCAAGAGTACCTCTGCGATTGTTGAGGCCGTGGGACGCTGTCTATTAGGTCGGGATCATGAAGCCTTAATAGTACCTCTGCGAGTCCTCTTCATATCTAAAAACAAACAATATTAAGTACACACTCAGTAACGTATTCAGTAGATGATCACTGAAAAAAGGAAATAAATTCGGTGGACTATCACTGAAAAAAAAAGCACATATTCGATAGAGTACCACTGAAAAACTGAAATAAATTCGGTGGGAGTCTCCTGAAAATTAGAAACATATTCAGTGGACAACCACCGAAACAAGGTAACAATTTTGATGGTAACCCACCGAAAGTAAAATAAATTTTTGTACAACTCAAGTTCAAATTCGGTGGACTACCACTGAATCAATGTAACCATTTTGGTGGTAATCCACCAAAACTAGAATCCAGTTTCATAAAACCAGGTTCGAACCATACACAACGTTGAAATCAAAATCAAAATCAAAATCAGACGACCAAACTGCCACAAATAACTAAGATTTCTTGGGCTTCGATAGTCTTACCAAAACCACGTGGTAAGAAGTCCTTCCCAACAACTCTGCACGACATAACAAAAATATAAGCAAGCATTATATATTAGCATCACAACAAATTCAGTACTTCAACCAATTATTCTAATATTCGCTATCATATTCCAGAAGTTTTGTTTCTTTTTTCTTCCCAATTAACAAGCATATTCCACTTAGCGTAGACAATTCCTAGCAGTTCAATCAAAACGCATAAAAGCAATTCATTTGTTTTTAAGCACCACGAGTATAAACTAGTTCGAAGCATTAAGCTTTGGTCAAACTCGGGGGCTAAGTTATAGAGCAGATAAAAAGAAACACAAATCAAAGTTCATATACTCGGATCGATGAGAGAGATAAGAGAAGGTGAGGGATTGGAAGTGGACCTGGCCACCGACGATCGACGACGATGAAGGTTTGCTAGGTTGTGCAATGGGTCTTTGCAAAGGGATGAGTTCTGCGACAGGGTGTATCTGCAAGAGGAGGGAATTTTCGATGGGGTGGGGCTTGATATCAGATGGGGTGGGGTTTGATTTCAGATGGGGTGTGTTGAAAGGGAATGGGGTTTTCGGTGGGTGGTGTCTGATATGGAATGAGGTTTACACAGTGAGTTAAGGAATGGGGTTCATGAGGGCAATTTAGGAAAAAAAAAGGGGTATAATGAGTAATTTGAAATTTTATTAAAATTTAGTGAGGTATAAAAATTTATGGGGTGTAAAGAGTAATTAATGGGGTTCATATAGAATTACCCTTACATTTTTCTTTCGGAAGAATTTTAATTGACAACAAAGAAAAAAAGTAGAATTAATTTTAGAGTAAAATGTCGATTATACCCTCAGTTTCAGTTCATTGACAAATCACTGAACCCTTTTCCTGAAAAACATGAAGAAGAGAGCTTTTTAACGGGCATAAAGAGAAGGAGATTGAATTTGGGGTTAGGGTTTTGTTTGTGAGAAAAAAAAGAATAAAAATGGAGGGTTGGGACCCGAACACGAAGTCGACGCTAACCCAGATCCCACTGTTGACGACGAAGGCCGGGCCGAGAGATGGGGCGGCATGGACGCAGAGGCTGAAGGAGGAGTACAAGGCTTTGATCGCCTACACCCAGATGAACAAGTCCAACGATAACGATTGGTTCCGAATCTCCGCGGCCAATCCCGAGGGGACACGTTGGACCGGCAAGTGCTGGTACGTCCACAACCTCCTCAAGTACGAGTTCGATCTCCAGTTCGATATCCCTGTCACCTACCCAGCTACCGCACCTGAGCTCGAGCTCCCTGAGCTCGACGGCAAGACCCAAAAGGTCGGACCTTTTTATGATTTTCCGATTTTTCCCCCTCCTCATTTTGTTTTGTTTTGTTTCTGTTTCTGAATTATGATTTTTTCGTCAATTGATGGGTGATTTGGATTGGTTCAGATGTATAGAGGGGGGAAGATCTGCTTGACAGTGCATTTCAAGCCGCTTTGGGCCAAGAACTGGTAATTTTGCTATTATTTAGTTGTTTTTAAATTTTGTATGTTAAATAATTGTATACTTTTTGTAGTATTTGGGTTTAGAAGAGATTTCAAAATCCGGTGTGTGCGAAAGTCTGATAATTTTCTGGCTTTGTGAACTCGGCGCTTAATTGGTTTGAGCAGTATGACGTAACTGAACAAACAAAATGCATAATTTGAATAATTCAATACATTAGTCTCTTTTTGTGAAAGTAATTTAAGTGTTTCGATTTCGTAACAACTATATCTCTATTTGCCTTGCTTCGCTTCGTGGAAGAATAGTATTTGTATTTTGTTCTGTGGAAGGAAAGCAATTGTTTAAGTTACATTGGTGCACAAGCACAAGTAGGACAACATAGTTTCTTGTTGTTTTTCAATTTGAAGTAAAATGAAAAACATTGATCTATAAAACTTTTACATTATGGTAATTGCTTACCTAGAAATTTCAGTCTTCCTTTAATCTCATACAAGTTACTTACTCTAATCACTTCTGGAAAGTATTAAAGCAAGCAAACACCATGACATTTTTACATCTTTCTTAATAACTTTTTTTGGGATTATTGGCTAGTAGTTCTTATGATCGTTCTTATGTTATGCAGTCCGAGGTTTGGTATAGCACATGCACTATGTTTGGGTCTTGCACCATGGCTTGCAGCAGAGATTCCCATTCTTGTGGATTCTGGTATGGTTAAGCACAAAGATGATGCTGCATCGTCAGCTGAATCTTAGTTCAATGTAATATTGACGCTGTAAAAGTAAACCTCGATGACGGAAAATAAGTGTGGAGCCATAAGTAGCAATTTACCGGAACCGAGGCATATATTTTATCTGCAGAGAAATACATTTTTGAGATCAAATACATACTCTTGAAGCCATTTTCATTTTTAGCTTTGAAATGCGTACATGTACATTGTAAGATATGAATTCACATCCCTTTCTTCTTCTTCTTCCTTTTTTTGTTTTTTCCAGCTTCTTTTCAGTTGATATGTTCTTGTGCTTCTTGTTTTCTTGCAAAATTGTTTGTGTTCTATGGTTGAAGTGGTAACTCATGATGCTCGAGTCAGGCTTCAATTATGCACTTGCACCTTGTTGCATCCAGAAACGAATTCGATGTCTCTTATGCTCCAAATTTTGTATGTGGGCTCAAAAGAATTGAGCTGAGAAGTGTATGCGACCAGATCTGGTTTCTTGGGTATAAATGCTCTTTTTCAGCTTGAGTTTTTTGTATTGTAAATATTTATCTGACAAAGACTTATTTAGTTCACTCACAACAATGCGCACCATTTTCAATTTGGAGGATCGATAGTATGTTAGCGTAAACTATCCAGGCATTGAAGTTGTTAATTCATGCAAGTCTTTTAGGCTTATGACATGTAAGTAGGAATCTGGAAACTTAGAAATAGGGAAAGTTGGAAATTGGAATTGGATCAACTACCTCATCCTAGTGGATCCAATTCCTAATTTTGAGGGTATTCCGATACTGATCCACAGTTTTCATTTGTTAAAGTAGGAAAAATTATTGCTTCAGTGAGATGGTAGATTCATTTGTTAAAACACTGAAGCAATAAGTTTCTGAGGAATAACACTTAAAAAATTGTAACTGAAGGATGAGAAAGCACAAAGAAATATTTAAAATAATAGTGAAGCAAGACCCATTATTCAAATGAAGCCTTTTCTTTTCAAGAATTATTTCATACCTAATTACATCCCAATTTTACCATATTGCATGCTGTTTCCTATTTCAAAACAAGGAATGTGTATAATTTAGTCCAAACACCAACTAAATTCCTTTTGTACTTCGTTTTTTTGGGTCAAAACCTTTTGTATTCGTACTATTTTCTCTTCACGAAGTTCCAAAAACTAGCCAGCTATTGTGACAAGAGATTAAAAATCTTGGGGAAAAATTATTCAGTAGCGGCCAGCAGAACAAGAATACGTTGATTCTTACAAGTATTAAATGTGCAAGCACACACAACAGATACAAATTACGAAGCACACATAAATAAGAGGCCAGTCCTAATTTACAAGAGATACAAATACAAACTCTCCACAAACCCAATTGTTCTGTCATCTTTACCATGCTTTAGCTTGTTTACCCAAATTCATTGCCTGCTGGAAAACTGCAATGATCAGTAAGTTAATGAAATCAGGGGATTGCTAGCCTTGATTAAAATGGATGGTAACAAATATAATTCCTAAGAAAACAAATGCAAATTGAAATTAATGGATGGCCATTTCCTTGGAATTCAGGAGGAAAAACATAATCCACCCTAAAAGGGGCATAGAAAATAAAAGAAACAGAAAAACGAAACGTACTGAACTTGTTAATCTAACGGACAGCCAGATTTTGGTTAATGGTACCTGATAGTGTAGAAAATGCACTGGACTTGAGACGAAACAACAAACATGAGAACACAGGGCCAAATGGTTCAGGTCAGAAGCAGAGTTGCAGAAGTCATAGCAACCCAACAATGAAACATTACTATTTGAACAGAGAATATTTCAACTGCATGGCCTTCAAGATTCTTGAACCCCTCAGGTGCAAATTTACAAGATGGACATTAACTGTGACCCATTTTGAGTCAACCACAATTCCGTCGGATCATGATCCCAAATGGCTTCTTAAGCTATGTACAACCAGCCATCAGTTCTTCAAAACTGCAAGAAAATAAAAGAAAAGAAAGAAGCACTTTTAGATTCTGAATAACAGCATCTGAAGCATAACTATTAGTCATGATATTCAACTAGCATTACGAAATTACTTACCTAAGGATTTTGTGACGTGGATGCAATGTGTTGCCTCTGCTGCAATGCCGATGATTCAACATAGATATAAGGGACATGAGATATCTTCCCCCAGCCCTCGCCTTTTCCTCTCTCACAATAGTGCTCAAGATCAGGACAGTCTCTGATGGACAGGTGTTGCAGTGCACTTAGACGTCCTAAACCTTCTGGCAACGATCTTATATTTGGACACTGAGAGATTGCCAAAGATCGAAGTGAAACAAGATGCTCCACCCAGTTGGGAAGCTCCGTGAGTTTTGGGCACATACGAAGTTCCAGAATTTGCAATTTCTTCAGGTGTTGCATTCCCTCCGGCAGAGATGTGAGCTTTTCACAGTTTATAATTGTCACGCTTCTAAGTTCCACAAGGCAGTGGAAATTATCTGGCAGATGAACTAGGTTTGAACAAGACATAATTGTGAGGTTATCAAGAGCTGTGAGGTGTTTCATCCCCATTGGCAAAGATGTTAAGCCGGCACAATTCTCAATTGAGAATGATAAAAGTGAGCACAAGCCTTCCATGCCTTCCTCTGGCAAACAGATTAAACTAGGACACTCAACAATTTCCAAGTTCTCCAGTGAAGTGAGGCTTTTTAATCCATGTGGCAAAGTTTCTAGTTTTTCACAGCATCCAATTTTCAGTGATTTCAAACACGAATTGTTTTGCAACAATTTTTTTGGTAGAAAGAATAAGTCCTGAAAGAAGTCAATAACGAGGGTGGAGAGTGTGTTTAGCTCAGACGCTGACCTCACTATCAATTGGTTGCACTTTTGCAGCTCCAAGTATTGGAGACGTGGAAACCATGGCATGCTCATCAACAATGGACATTCTGTGATGATTAGTTTGTCCAGGCAAATAAATGCTTCTGCGGAATCCACAATGCTCCAAGTTTTCAATTCAGGAAAGTCTCTGATGGTAAGTTCTTTCAGGGACGAGAATGATCTGTCACCTTCACCTGAGAACTCAACACCGATGTTTATGATGGAATGCATTCCTTGGATGTTAAGGATCTTGAGAACTGGAAGTTTCCCAAGCGTAGGAAGACTCTCACAGTTTTCGCAGTTAATTAAGTTCACCTGAGTGAGATTTTCAAGGCCAGACATATTCATCCAATCGGGAAAGGTTTCTCCTGAATAACCTTTTATGGATAACTTTCTTATATAGTGGTTTGGTTTAAAACAATTGCATACTTCCAGATCAGCAAGCGGATTGCGCCTGGGACTTTGTCTGCTGGATGCGTTACTAGCTGACTTACCCTCATCAACATTCCCCCATAACAGTTCCAATGAGTAGAAGTTTCTTAATGACATCCAAGAGCTAATATCCAGCAGCTCATCATATAGACGACAAACTCTCTCCAGGTGTGTGATTTTTAACTTGCCTTGAAGATTGCTCAGTCTCAGAAGCTGAGTAATGTCATCTTCAATTTTGCCACCAACAATAAATACTGGCAAAGTCCGAAGTTGGCATAAGTTTCCGATTGATGGGGGCATGTAATAAAGTTTTGCACAATTATCTATATGCAGATGTCTCAGTCTTATCAACCTTGCTGTACCCCTTGGTAACTCCCTGAGCTCACTGCAATTTGAAAGATTCAGTGTCTGCAAATTGCAGAGATCACAGATTGTTGCTGGCATGGTCTCAATGAGAGTATAAGAAAGATCAAGATATCTCAAATATATCAACCCCCCAATCGATCTGTGCAGTCTTTTAGTGTCATATCCACTCAGATTGAGCACTCTGAGGTGCTTAAAAGTTGAAACTACGGCAGGAAGGACTTGCTCAGAATCCTCTCTTGGTGACAGCAAATTGAGGGTACGCAGTTTCTTTGCTTTACACAAGGCTTTGGGGATCAAACAAGAGCTAGGATTGGAAACAACTGAAGCATGGCGTATCTTTGAGAAACCATCTGTCGGGTACGGAATTTCTATGAGATTAGAACGCACGTTGTCATGCCCAAGAGTCATAAATTCTTTTCCAGAGACAGACTTTGCAAGATCATGAATAAGGTCATGCATTGTAAACTCTGTCATAACTTCGTCATCATCAGATTTTCTTATGCCTTGAAAGAAAGACATCATCAATAAGTTGTTAAAATACTCGTTCCCAATGTCCTCCATATTCAGGAAAGACTCTTGATCATCAATTAAGCCTTGTGCAACCCATTGATGGATCAACTTTTCCTTATTTATCTCATAATTTTTAGGGAACACTGAGCAATATGCAAAACAAGGTTTTAGATGCGATGGCAAGTGATTGTAACTCAGTCGTAAGATTGTTAAAATTCTGTTCTCACCTCCATTGTCACTCCACAGCTCACTCTTTTGCACATTTGACCACTCGGTTTCTTGTCTTTTTAAGCGCAGTAGGCTTCCAAGAGTTTTAGCCACCAAAGGTACACCTTTGCACTTGTCAACTATTTGTTCACCAATGGGCAGTAAGCTTTGAAATTCATCTTCTTTTCCCTCTGAAAAGGCTAGTTGCTTGAACAAATTCCAACAATCATCTTTGCTTAGCGCTTCCAAACGGTAAGGGGGAGATGCACTAGTTATTGCTGCGACTGCCTCGCTCCGTGTAGTAAGTATAATTTTACTTCCATCCGAAGTGCCCTTCAATGGATTAATTAGTTTATCCCATTCATCTTGATCGTGGTTCCACACATCATCTAGCACAAGTACGTATCTTTTTCCCCCCAATGATTGCCTCAACTGAGACTGCAGCACACCAATCTGCAAGCTGTCATGGCTACTCTTTGTGACATAACCCAACATTTGATTGATGATCCTTTTCGGGTTGAAATTATCATTGACGGATACCCACATCTCAAGTTCAAAATGCCTCCTGACCCTCGGATCATTGTATACTAACTGAGCAAGTGTTGTCTTCCCCATGCCTCCAATTCCAACAATCGGAATTACTGGAACTTGAGGACCACTTCCTGACAGCAACATCTCAACAATCTTCTCCACATCCTCATCTCTGCCAAAAACCTTAGATTCATCAACAAAGGGTCCGGTTTCGCGTCTCTCCATGGTATCTGACCGCTTATATGGCGAACATTGTTTGAATTGGAAGCAAGACATTTGCTTGGTGAGATCTTCCAGATTTTCCCGAATCTCCTTCAGCTTACGCGACATTTTAAAGTGAACTGGAATTGTTGCAAGCTTTAAGGTAGTCTTCCTTACCTTATATGTTGTCCGTTGTCGAATCCGTCTCAGTCTGAGACCAAACAACTCCTTGGTGTTTGGATTTCGACCTAACTTTCTAAGTAGTTTGTAAATCGGGTCGACGGTATCGCCGTCGGTCACTTCCATTAACTGTCTACGCAGAGGGAGGGTGGAAATCTCATCCAACAGGTCGTCTGCATCGTAGGCCACTTCTTTGAGCTTCACCAGCCAACCTCTCACCTTCTTATCTTTCATCTGCTGCTCCTCTGCATCTTCTATCACGCCTTGAATCACTGGTAATATGTTCTGCAGCGTTTCCATCTCCTTCTTGAAATCTCGGCTAGTTTGCACTTTACCAGCAACAGAGGAAGTTAGCCTTCCAAACAGCAGCTCTAGAAGCGGAGCTACAATCACAGCTTCCATGGCAAGTCGTGAATGGACACAGCTCTTGAGATCAACAGGTGTGGATGAACAGTCAGTTACAGTTTAACCAACGGAGATGATACCACAACAAAATGATCACTATCTCAGTAGCTTCATATATTCTTTTGTTTTTGTTTTTGAAGGATATTTCTTTCTCACTCGCCTGCTTTTCAGTTCAATATTATCATTTGCGGTTGAGAAAATAGGCTATTTTCTTAAGGCGTCCAATCAAGTCAACAGTTGTTCTTCTCCCGCGTTGTTGTGGACCACGGGGCAATTGCCCTGCAAGACCTAGGAGCTTTCCAATTCCAACCCCCTTGGGTTTCTTCGAAATGAGTTGTTTAAATGTCCACATCAATTTTCCTCTATCTTCAAGCCACTCATAAGATTATAGTCCTTGATACCAGTGGGGTGGGGGATAGCTTTTTCACCTCCACCAACGTGGACAGAGGTTCGAAACCCCAGGGACCCGAATATTTGTGTAAACTTTTTTCTCCAATCGCTTGTACTAAAACGAAAAAAGTCTAGCCCTCGATACCAAAAATCCCAAAATAAACATAAGTTCTTAGTTATTCAGTAACTTATATCCAATTACCAACATGAAATTTAGAGTCTCAAAGTAAAAACAATTTTGTTGGAATAAAACTGGTTGAAGTAGGAAGGAGGTTTAGGGTGCTCAGTAGCATTCAGTTTGGTACTCAACACACGACCAAAAGAGAACAGAGAAAACTTAATGACACTTTTCTTTCTTTACACAAAGTGATAAAGTTATTGGCTGATTATTGTAGCAATTTATACATAAAAACTTTGGGAAAGATTTAATCATTACACATCACATATGTAGGTTCATCTTTCATTTCATTTTGTTTCACCTTCACCAATATTTCATTTCATTAAAAATTTGGACCCGCTGCAAGAATTTCCTCTGTGAGCTTGTTGTCCTTTCCAATCTTGTGATTCAAGAATACCTCAAAGTTCTTCTTGAACAGACCACCTAGTTGAAGCAGTGTGTCTTTGTAGGCTTTTTTGTCTGACCACTGCCATTGGAAAAATTCATAGAGACCTTGTCAATACAAATCAAATCCCAACCAAAAATGAGAAGCAGCAGTAAAATAAGGAAGAAAGAGAAGAAAAAAAAAAAAAAAAAAAAAAAAAAAGAAACTGACAGTGTTTATTGGATCCAGAATTTCTGAAGGTACACCCTCAATCTCAGTAGGGATCTCAAGACCAAATACTTCAGTCTTGGTGTAGCTTGCATTCAAAAGCGTGCCCGAGTGAATAGCATCGATAATCTTCCTGGTATAGGCTAATTTGATACGGTTACCTGTTCCATACCTGCAGAAAAACTAAATGTTAGATAGTCAAAGTCCATCCGACTAGCTCTTAGTCTAGTGGTATTTCTCATTCCAACGTTGAAAGATGTCCCAAGTTTGAATCCCGACCTCCCCTATTGATAAAAAGAAAATCGAAGAGCATCATCAAATGCATCAGTATATTTCTGTTTCTATTAATTTCATACCTTCCTGCAGACCAGCCTGTATTAACAAGCCATCCAGTGGCGCCGTGCTTCTGCATCTTTTCAGACAACATTGCTGCATACCTTGTGGGATGCATCATTATAAACGCTGCACCAAAGCATGCTGAGAATGTAGCTTGCGGCTCCTTAATACCATCCTCTGTTCCAGCCACCTGTTTTTGCATTTGGGAGTTCCATCAATAATATGCAATGCATGCAACTAGTAAATATTTCAAATGGAAAGAAGATTGGATAAGTACCAAAGCAGTGTAGCCGCTGATGAAATGGTACATAGTTTGTGCCAAGCTCAACTTGCTCACAGGTGGGAGCACACCAAATGCATCACATGCCAGAAGGATGACATTTTTCGGATGGGGGCCAACACATGGTATTTTCGCATTTGGTATGTATTCTATAGGATATGCTGCCCGAGTGTTCTCTGCAACAATTTTTGTCAAGGTCAAAACAAAAATCAAAACATGGTTTTGTATATTAGTTGTACAGAAAAATGTTGTGTGTGAATTATGTTTCATGTCATTCTTTCTGTAAAATCTGATCTACTTATTGTTGCTTGTGCTACGGATTGCTACAATAAATATCCACGAACAAATACCACAACATTTTCAAGTTTACTAAATGATAGTTTGCTTAAACACACAAAAAGTAATCAGTTTATTAAAAAATATGCAGGAACCTTACCAGTAACAGATTTTTCAGAGTAATCCACCTCTCGAGTATGCTCATCGAACACAATATTCTCCACAACTGCCAAACATATGCCATCGTAGTTGATAAGAATACAAATAGCAATTCAATCATGACACAAACCCGAAAAAATAACACTCATTTTCAAAGTAGAAAGTTGAGTTATGTCATGGTGTTACCAGTCCCAAATTTGATAGCATTCCAAATATCTGGCTCCTTGTCCTTTGACAAATCAATGCACTTGGCATAGCAACCACCTTCAATGTTTGACACACCATTGTTGCTCCAGCAGTGCTCATCATCTCCAATTAAATACCTATTATGATCTGTAGACAGAGTCGTCTTCCCAGTGCCTATGGCAAACATATGAATCATCAGTTGCAAAGATACAAAAGAAACTGGAACAAAGAATAAAGCAAAATCGGTTGGCTGGTGATTGATCACGGTGCATACAGCCATGAAAATGCAATAAAACTCTACCTGACAAGCCAAAGAAAAGGGCAACATCCCCATCTTTCCCCATATTGCAGCCGGAGTGTAGGGACAAGATTTGACGCTTAGGCATGAGATAGTGCATGACACTGAACAGGCCTTTCTTCATTTCCCCAGCATACTGGGTGCCAAGAATGATCATTTCCCTCCTAGAAAGATTGAGGTCTACGCTAGTGGAGGAAGTCATGTAGTGGGTGTAACGGTTACACGGGAACTGCCCGGCATTGTAGATTGTGAAGTCCGGAGTACCAAATTCCAACAGCTCTTCAGGAGTAGGGCGGATGCACCTGTCACGTGCCAGCAGGTAATATGTTTAAGCTCATACAGGCAAGAATATCAACTTCATTACTTACATGTTATGCATAAAGAGGGAGTGGTAAGCTCTTGCAGATACAATCCGAACTTTGATTCGGTGTTCTGGATCCCAGTTGAGAAACTGATCGTTCACATATACCTGAGTTCCAGAATTATTAGAACAGCGGTCACCACTCATTACAGATTAAATTGGAAGAAACAGAGATAACTATCAAAATTCTTTTCTTATTTTTTATTAAAAGATTATTAAAATTCTTGATCCAATATTTATTTTGATTCCTGGCTTGCAAGAAAAGGCAGGATTGATCTTATATGGGTAATAGAAGCGATAGTCTAAACTACAAAAGGAAAGAGAAGTTTCTCATACACACACTACCAAAATACCATGGATATGAGACCATTAATCTACAAGTCAAGGCCCTTACATTATTATGGCTTGTTGTCTCTTACTGAATGATTAATTTAAATACTTTACCAGCAAAACACTTTGACGTATAGTTTATTTATTATGACAGGAGTGGAACGCTACCACAAAGGAAATGTCCACAAAGTTCTCTAGAATAGTCAGACCCACCACTAAGGCTTAAAAATACTTTGGTCAACTTTTTCTTTATAATATCATTTAGCCCACGTCAAGTTCATGGAAAAAGCAAACAAAGTTGGTGGGAGGATATCATATTCTTCTTCTAGCATCATCAATCATCATGTACACCTTTGCATATCCCTTTGATTAAGGAATGGATAACAGGATAATCATCCACCAAGCTAAACTTTGCAAACAGTCATTGCCAGCTGATTAACACGTTTGCTTCATGATGTTAGGCCCATTTTTAAGCAAACTAATTAAAATACGTATACCAGTTGTTTATCTAATTTATGAAATAGATGACCGAACTCATGTGCATTGAGTGGACAAACTATCTTGACCTACTGACTTAAACCACGTGTGAAAACTTGAATGAGAGATGTATATCAACATGTGGTACATACCTTGTCCAAGGAATTCAAGTAATCTACAGCTCTTTCTCTGTTCACTAAGAAAGTGTGCTCGTCCATTTCAATGTTGGGTGAGCCCCTAATTAAGATTAACGAAAATGTATAGCTTAATCAACTTAAGGGAACATATTTTCAACTGGGCATCAAATCAAACCACTACTAGAAAAAGGACCAAAAGTCACGGATATAATGGCCATAAAAAGAAGGTAGCAGTAGCAGTAGAAAAGCACTTACTTTCCCCACCAAAGCTCATTTTCGGTTTCTTCATCTTTCACCACTCGTTTGTCTCTCGGTGAACGACCAGTCTTTGCTCCAGACAATGTGGCCAAGGCACCAGTTGCTGTTATAAAAGAACCTTTCTCGTACTTGATAGCTTGCTCGTACAATTCTGTAAAATAACTCTATTTATTAATCAAATTTTGGATATATTTAAACCCAATTCCATTAATTCAAATAAAAACAGAGGTTTTGTCAAATTATCTTTCATCCAATACTCTATATTTTTGTCATCAATTATTATGACCTATAGTCGTTTCAAACTACTTTATTCTTACTTATAGTCCATATATTATTTTTCTCTTGGCAAATTTCGATGACTAGGATTCAACTAAGAAAATTAGTAAGCAAGCTTATGGTATGTTTACTTATCAGTAGTGGGTATTAGAATGATTCTAATTCCTTACTTTCCCATGCGTTTACTTACACATGCGGAAAAAAAAAATTATGGGTAGTTCCATGGTAAAATCCATAATTAAATGCCCTTCAAACTAGAAATCAAATCAACTAGGGAGAGTAGTTGATCCGATTTCAGTTCCTTATTCCCAAATTCTTAAGTTACCCGATTCATGACTCCGTAAGTAAACATGCTTATGCGTAAATGTTATTTTATTTTTCAAATTCTTAAAATACCCCTAATTTGATATGCTTTATAGGCTGTATTATATTTTGATTGTCTTATTTATTGTGCTGAATTTGTTTAACATATTGTTCGTCATCAATTTTGCATAGATGTTGAGAAAATTGTTTTCCTTTTTTTAACAAATTTGGGTCACTTTTTTCTCCTCCTTTTATCAAATTGTTTTAAATTTCAAATTGATGGATCAGTTTTTTTCCTTTTATTCTTACCAGTCTAGAATACTTTATAAATATTAGAAGAAAATAGTAAGTTACTGTGATGAAAGGCATGTAATTAAAAAATTACCAGCAGGAGAGAGATTGTAGAGGATGTGGGTAAACTTGAGGGCACTATCACTAACGCCAAAGAGGGAAGCGTCGTACAGATGATGCTCCACATGCGTCGCCTTCTGGCCCTCCGATTTACTCGCTGGGTCCCCCTTCACCACCTTGGGCCCCGTCTCCCTCGTCAGCGACGCCAAAGACGCACTACAGCATCACAAACAACCAAACCCACGTTAACATTAAAAACGCACCGTTCGATCTCAGCATACTAACTTACTATGCACGCGCGCGTACGTACCTGATCGACTGCAGCTGCTGCTTCTGCCGGTCCTCTTCAGAAATGGCGGCAAAAGCTCCCTGCGTCCCGTTGATGGGCGTGGTGGGCTGCGACGACTTCTTCTTCTGAAGAGAATGAAGCTCGTCGATGGTCTTCGCCTTCACCGGCGTCCCGCTGTCATCGTGGCAAACCTCCGACGTGGCCTCATGGTGGGTTTGGATCTTCGGTAGCCCCTGGCGTCCCATGCTTCCTGTCCTCGTGAAGCGAAACCCTCCATTTTCTGCTCCCTTGTTCTGAGCCATGTTTGATCAAGTCCCTGCAAATAACACATATTAAACATGCATATTAGCACATGAACCAATGCAAATCATAAACAAGTTGTTATGTCGAAAACAATGATTGGTTGATACGGGATATCAATCGTAACCCTAATTTTATTGATCAAATTTGCGAATGTCTCTGTAGATTGATACCCGTAACCAGATAATATTTACCCTTTTATCTTTTTGTATGTGAAGGATACGGTAACAAAGAAAGACAACCTTGGACTAGAAATTGTGAGAGAAGCCAACAAGAAAAAGCTTGTAAGTGTCAACGTGAGGATGAAAGAGAGCTTGAGAATATGAGAGACTTGAAAATGATCTGTATAAAAAGGCTTTGAGTAGTCCCGGGATTCAAGATTTATGGATTAACTTGGGTTAGTTTTGCTTAACCATGGTTGAGACTCCCACAAAACTAAAAGAAAGAGACATGTCAGCAAGAATCATAATCGGGAGAGGAAGAAATTTCCAAAACGGAAATTAAATGTGAAACGCTTGCGATATGGGCGAGCAGGTCAAGTTGTGACAAAAGTGGCACGCGTTTTCTATTGTTGCAGTTGTTGGGCAAGGATAAGAACGTAACCGCTGTTCATGCATTATTGTGATGCATCTCTATCTTGTGCAGCTAAATTGGGCTTTGCTCAATACTTGATTTTTTGCCAATTGAGCACCATAGAATGTGATCAAAGTTATTGCACTAAAGCCTAAAGGCTCCTTTACTTGTGTTGGGTGGGGTGATTTCAGATGGTTGACATATGGTCAAAGTGGCTTCTACAGGGTCCGTAAGTATCGGTGTGGTACTAGCCTAGCCCTCTCCGATACCAAAGTCGTAATGAAAACCAGGAACGTATCTATGAACAGTGTTTTGAGTAGAAGAAGATACTACTTTTGTCGCGCGCATAATTACATATTGATCTAATCACAAGTTTCAAGTGACAAAGAATTACCCGTGATGTATCACAAGATCACTCTCTACAGTCTTCTGTTTCTTTTCTTGTTTTTCCAAATAATCACAGGGCTGCTCTAGTTTTGGGCTCATCCTCATCTCTTTTTCTTTTCTTTTTGCCCACTTTTTGTGTCTTAATTTTCAGATGGTTCATGTCCTTGTCATGAGCGCACTGACGTCATGAGGAATACTAATGGCGAAGAAAGCAACCTCAGACCTTAAACTTAGACGAAAATTGCAAGATGTCCACACTCAAAGTTCGGACTAAAAATCAGGGTCCAAATCCAAACAGGGATTCTCAATGGGCTATATTCTTGCATCAGTCCAACAGAGAGTTTGGATGGGATAGGGCTATTCTTCTTTTGTTACAATGGAGGACCAAGCCCTAATTGAGAGGCTACAAATAGTAGAGGGGCCTCATCAAGAGTTTGGCAACCCGAACCAATGTATCCTAGGAAGTCAGCCATTGAAGTATTTCCACCTTTTGTTTGTTTAAACCTTTTTCTTTGTTTTTTTCTGTTGAATTTAAGTCTGCAATTATAACATATTTGATTGGGATAGAATCGGACTGATTTCAACTTGCAGGATTTATTTTTATTTTTAATACAAACGATATTGAGAAAATGGAGAGTCGAACACAGAATCTTGGGTGCATGGATAACCACTTGAACTATAAGCCCTTTACTGCCGGACTTCTTAACATAGCTTAACTTGCAATGCGTATGATTTTACTTGTAGACAACGAAAGGATTAATTGTACATCACACACGTAGACACATATAGGTAGAAGACTTGAATAACACATGGCTTTGATTTCATGTTAAAATTAGAAGATCTAACTCAAAACCAATTGGCAAAATGTTTTAAAAACTAATAAAAAGTTTCCATTCCTCCAGCGTGGAATAATATACTCTCAGCAGCACTATAAGCTAGACAAAGGTAGATGATGACTATTGTTTTGGTCAGGCTTGTTATGATCAGATTACTCGAATCCTTCATTGTTTAACCCGAAAAATATGGTGGTCGTCCATCTTAATCACATTCATTCTCTATTCTTAAGGAGGGGAGAGATTGGCCAATTGTGCATAGAACTTCTAAAATCGTGCGTGCCTTTGTATTCACTTTGAAGATATGCAGAGTTTTTAAGACCAATGTCCTTATTGGTGGGAAAGTAGCCTTTTGCACTAAAATCAACCCCTTTTTCTTGAAGTGTGTTGTTAAAAAATACAGATACAGATACCAAGTTTGTATCAAGTTGTACTGTTATCTTGGAAAGCACCCAAGATCATGTTCTAAAACTAGAATGAAGATGAATTCAAGCTAGGGCTTTTCCTCTTCTTCATTTTGGTGATGAAAACATGAGAACTGTGGAGCACGAGTCGGATTAGCTGATCGACATGTGTTTTAGCTTGCATTTTTTGTTTCGTAAAACACAATGCAGATATGCAAATGGCTGAAAAGAAATTCAAGCTAGCCAGAGAGGCTGTCCCCATTTGGAAAAACCCTATTAATTCTTCATTATGTTGACAAAAACATTACGGCAAGATTGTCGGATTAGATCTTTTAAGTCAGGCTTTGGAAGAATACAGTTCACATTTTATTCCTCCTAAAGTACTTCTGTGCAATATTGCTCATAGGTTTGGTACTTTATTAGTTTTGTTCTGTATAGTTTATTATTAATCCTCACTATTTTTCTATCATGTTGATCAATATTCTACAACGGAATGCAATGTTCAATCACTCGCGACCAATGATGTTAAGTAACTTGAAATAAAAAACAAAGGGAGAACTAGAGGGTTTTACACGCATTTAAAGTATTCATTTTGAATTATTGTTCACGCAAAATACACGATCATGGTACTTTTTTAAAAGAAATTTATTTTCTCAATTTCGTATGGAATATAGACTTTTGAATATGTTAGTGCACATCGAAAAACCTATCCACATTTTTTTATTTTTTTTATATAAATGATATTGGGAGAGGGGGATCAAATCTAAAACCTCAAATGCATGGGTAAATTCTCAGGCACATATAATTAATTTTTTTTTTTTTTTTTTTTTTTTTTTTTTTTTTCTCAGATATAGCTCAAATGCTCCTTTTTGTTTTTTTTATACTTAGAGGATGGTGAGTTTAGTAAAAATCTGGACAATATCGGGGTTGCAAATTTGTCAAAGAATCCATATAATATCAGGCCAAAAAAGAGAATAAAAATATTTTGCTGCTAGAGGTAAACATGTCCAAATTGCAATCGCATGATATTACAGAAGAGCATATAAATGATAGAATGGTAGAAAAAGTCACACGTAGTGATTAAATTATGAAAACCACAGAGTTGCATATCCAAAAGTGTGAGCATATTTGTTCTCCACGTACGACTTTGTAATCAAAGTTGTGGCAAACAGAGGCCTGAAATCTCACAAACCAATCTCTTTCACATATCTTCACACCCCACCTCTTCCTACCTTATCCCTTTCTTGTATGTTGGATATCTTTCATCTTTTTTAGGGTTTTATTTCCATGCTTGCTGCGGCCTGCTGTGGCCCTAGTCTCTTCCTGGCCGTTGGATTCTCTTGTGCTGATAACAGCACTATATAATCCAACGGATGGCTAGCTGTGCTAAATTCTTCATATTGTTTTTGAAAAAGGGCATCATGCAAATCAGTGTGAAAGAATCAGTGGAACAATTTTAGTTTGATACCCATATTTGGTTTTAGCAGAAGTTAGTTTGTCAGTATACTAGCATTTGGAGAATGCTTATTGATTAAGACCAATATAAGACTAACTTTTGGTTATACCAAAGAAGCAAAAGGAAAAAATCAAACTTTTTTGAATTAGACCATATTTATGCATAACATGCGTGATAACACGGGATAACACAATTTTGTTATACTCAATCAATCACGTTGTATGCGTGATAATTGTCTCACATAGCAGAATGTGATTGGTTGGGAATAAAAAAATAGTACTATCACGGTGATATACAAGCTCTTTCCATTCATAAAATGTCTTTTTAAAGAAAACAGTGAGATAATCACAACTCATACTTTACGTTAATAGAAGTATCTTCTTTGCATTTTAAGTTTAGTTGCTAGTGAAATCCTTATTTGACTACAAAAATAAAAACTGAACAATTTTAACCATTTAATAACATAACATTGGATTGTCCCACACAATTAACCACTCCATTTCAACAAAAACAAAAACAAAAAAAAAAAAAAAAAAAAAAAAAAAAAAAAAAAAAAAATATATATTTTGTTGCCATCAAAATCTAATGATTTTCAAATCCCAATGTAGGGCCCATGGAAGATGAAGAGAGTGTGGATAAAACGTGTGTTCCATCCGCCAATCAGAACCCAAAGAAATCCCAAACACCCCACCCTCCCAAAATCCCCAACTCATATCCCAATTGTCATCAACTCCTCAGAGTCTCAAAAAGACTCACAGAGAACGAGAGGGGGTCAATTCTTTCGTACCCACCAAAACACCCTCCAACTTTTCCCACTTTTTCCAAAAACCCAAAAAAAAAAAGAAAAAAAAAACCAAACCCAACGGCCAGTTTTCGTTGAGCAGCCCCATTAGCGCACAGCCCATTCCTCTATTCTCTTCTCTTCTCCAATTCTGAGGGTTTTTTTTGGAAACGCCCTGTCGTTTGGGTTAATGGCGGTGTCGACCAGTTTCGCCGGAGCAAAATTGGAGGCTCTGTTGTTGAAATCTTCTTCGTCGGCGGCGACGACGTCGTCGAGGGCCTCCAATGGTTCTTGCACGTTGTCCGGGTCTTTGAGACCCGTCAGGAGCAGAAGAGCTGTGATTCAGAGGGGAGTGAGGTGCGAAGTGGCTGCTTCTGATGCTGCTGTCCAGACCGGTCAGAGTGTTTCCAATATTTCGGCTCTTGAGCAGCTCAAGACCTCTGCTGCTGATAGTACGTTTCTATTTTCCCATTAATACCTTCTACTTTATTTGTTTTTCTTTTCAATTTATGAACTTTTTGGTGGATTCTTTGATGGGTTTGTGCTGGAATTGGATTTTCTGCTTGCAATTGTTGGTTTGGTTAATGCATATTGCATATTGCAATTGTTGGTTTGGATTTTCTGATTGATTTTGTACATTGCATTTTAATTTTTAAGTTACTGTCACTTTTTGAATGAGTGAATAAATATAAACCACAATATATCTGTTTGAATTTTCGTAGAGTTTCTGGGTTTTAGAATTGCTGGATAAGAAAGTGCAGTTTGGGATTTTTCTATTTGGCCCAAGTATCTTTATAGTATGAAATTTAGAGTATAACAGAAAACACAGCCAATACTATCTTTCCCATCCAGAGTTGGTCTTGTATCACATATGTATTGATGAGTTTATTACCTGTAGGGAAAAAACTGGAAGGGAAACTTGATGATATGGTTCAAGTGTCATGACTTCCACTGTTTCATAAGTTAGAGATATATTGTCATTTACCCCATCCCTGGTCTGTTCAGAAGCTTTTTATGACACTTGTTTGATTGCATTTAGAGGATAATCTTCACTTTTTAAACCCCATGGCAAATTTATTGCCAGCATTCACTAGAACATAAAATTAGGTTTAATTACATTTGTGCAAGCCACCAGTTTGTGAATTCATAATTCAAGGTTGTTTAACAATGCTTATGTTCTTTTGGATATTGAAATTATTTGTATAATATTGTCTGACTGAAATTTCTAAAACTAATCTTCTCAGGATATACAAAGGAAAGAAGCAGCATTGTGGTCATTGGGCTTAGTATTCACACAACACCTGTTGAAATGCGTGAAAAACTAGCCATCCCAGAAGCAGAATGGCCTCGAGCCATAGGGGAGCTGTGTGGCTTAAATCATATAGAAGAAGCTGCTGTTCTCAGCACCTGCAACCGAATGGAGATATATGTTGTTGCTCTATCTCAGCATCGTGGTGTCAAAGAAGTGACTGAGTGGATGTCAAAGGTACTCGTCTTCTCTTTATAATGTGTTTCTGGGACAATAGTGTAATGGATCTTATGAGGGACTCTTTTGCATGTGTTTCTTGACATGGATCAATCATTGTATTTTACATTTGAGCAATTAATTTCTTTTCCTTTGAAAGAAGAATTACACTCTTTTCATGTGTAGTTTACATTTGACCGTGTATGCTCTTTACTTTCACCTGCTTATTAAAAAAGTATCCTGAATTGATTATGATCATTTCTTGATCTAAAACATTCTATTTGCTTTTATTTGCAGACAAGTGGGGTCCCTGTTTCTGAGCTATGCCAGCACCGGTTTTTGCTCTATAATAAGGATGCCACACAGCATCTCTTTGAAGTATCAGCAGGTCTTGACTCTCTTGTCCTGGGAGAAGGTCAAATTCTTGCTCAGGTGAAACAAGTTGTTAAAGTTGGGCAAGGAATTGTTGGCTTCGGCAGGAACATTAGTGGGCTGTTCAAGCATGCAATCACCGTAGGAAAGCGGGTTAGAACTGAGACTAACATTGCTGCTGGGGCAGTTTCTGTAAGCTCTGCTGCTGTTGAACTTGCCTTGATGAAGCTTCCTGCATCCTCACATGCTAGTGCGAGAATGTTGGTGATTGGTGCTGGGAAGATGGGGAAGCTTGTGATCAAACACTTGGTGGCAAAAGGTTGCACAAAGATGGTGGTTGTGAATAGAACCGAGGAGAGAGTGACTGCAGTCCGTGAGGAGTTGAATGGTGTTGAGATAATCTACAAGCCTCTCACAGAAATGCTTACCTGTGCAGCTGAGGCAGATGTGATTTTTACAAGCACGGCATCAGAAACCCCATTATTTTTCAAAGAGGATGTAAAGGACCTTCCTGTTGTGGGTCCAGAGACTGGCGGTTCGAGGTTTTTTGTTGATATTTCTGTCCCTAGGAATGTGGGCTCATGTGTCGCTGATGTTGATGGTGTGCGAGTTTACAATGTTGATGACCTTAAGGAGGTTGTGGCTGCTAACAAAGAGGATCGCCACCGGAAAGCAATGGAAGCTCAGGAAATTATTACTGAAGAATCAAAACAATTTGAAGCATGGAGGGATTCATTGGAGACAGTCCCTACCATCAAGAAATTAAGAGCTTATGCTGAAAGAATCAGAGCTGCAGAGCTTGAGAAATGTTTATCAAAAATGGGTGATGACATCTCAAAGAAAACTAGAAGAGCTGTCGATGATCTTAGCCGAGGTATTGTGAACAAGCTCCTTCATGGTCCAATGCAGCACTTAAGATGCGATGGGAGTGATAGCCGAACTCTGAGTGAAACCCTTGAGAATATGCATGCTCTTAATAGAATGTTCAGTCTTGAGACAGAAATTTCGGTCTTGGAACAGAAGATTCGAGCTAAGGTGGAACAAACCCAGAAGTAAGCTCGATGTCAAATTTCTTCCATGATACATCTACTTCCTCAAATTTGAATAAGGGGAAAACATCCTCACAGTCATTTTAGTGTTCGCTCTGGTGTAATCTTCAACTCCATAGATAAACAGTGTTGGTCCCGGCTTGGGGATCTTCCAATTCATTCTTTGGTGTAAAACACTTTAACCTGATTCTTATCTGGGAGTTCTGAAATATGTCTACCACATGTTCCTAAGTGGCTGTTCGGCTTTGTATCGAAATAATGAGGTGAAATTATTCATGTTGGTACGATTGTCGTATTGTTTATGGTGTGTCGTCTGTGTCTGTAATACTGTTAATTCTTGTAATTAAAGGATATTTGCATATTTGAGATGAATAAATTGTAATTGATCATTTTTGTTGAGATTTTTGCTTTCTTTTGTAGATGTGGTTTCGTGCTGTGTAACGTGCTAAGAAACACATCAAAGATTTTCATAACTTGTTGTCTTGCATATGTGAAAGTAATATATGTAGCATACAAAACAACAAAGAAGTTTTACGCGATGATATATATACAATACAAGTAGGTTGAACTTTTCTGAGCATCCATGACTTCACATTAATAAGAAATAACTGCTCAAGTTCAATAGTAAAGTGCCAAGAACGCTCCAAAAACCGAAGAGAAATCCTAGTCCCAAGCTCAGATAGAACCAAACGTCTTCAAACAAATTACTTTGAATTGACCGGTTGAATTGTCGCAGACAACTCCAAACCAACTGCAACAATCTCCTTCACCAGCCCAGGACAGAAAGCCGATTTGAAGGATCTTCAAGATCGTGCTTGAACACCAAAAGAGCTTGTCTCTCATTTTCTTTGCATCGCGCACTTGGATTTCCAATGCATAAGCAAATGGTAAACAAGGTTGCAATGCAGAAAAAACCAAACAAGCAATACACTAGCTATTTGGATTCCATTGCACTCAGATTTTCAAGTTGCTGACAGAGTAAGTAACACAAGCAATACACTAGCTATTTGTCAAGGGAATAATCACAAGCAATATTGCTCAGTTTTCCATAAAAAGAAATCAAAGATCATCATTGGTGGTGAAATGCTTTCCAGTTCATGGAGTGTTTCACATAGTACTTCCTTAAACTGCAAATCCTTTTTCAACTTGTATTTGGCCTCAAAATGAAAAAAAACAATGGGGATGTCAAAATGTCATGCTCAGATATTATTTCGGCTACTAGTAGACAATGACCAAACGTCCTTGGGTTAATGACTCAGAAGACTTAAGTTAGATTGGACCTAAAATTTAATTATGGCTTGAATTTTAAAAAGCATATGCATGCATGCAAGAATATGCAAGCACCCCATGAACTGGCAGGCATTTTCTTTCGTTTTGGATTTTTTGGGTTTTTTATTTTTTTTTATTTTATAGTGATGGTTTCGTTGCTTGCTTCGTTTGGGAATTGGCAAATGGAAATTTTTCTTGTTTTCTATTCGGTAGAGTTCATTATTAGTATTTTGTTTTGTCAGAACTCTTTGGGTAGAATTGGGGATTAAATTTTTGTGCAGGGCAAATCCTGAGATTCCAACTCAACTAGATATACACTTGTGTTATTTTCCGGCACGCTTAACTATATATATAATACTTATAATAGTAATATACATAATATACACATAAAAAAAATTAAGTACCCCTGTGCAGTGGCACCACTTGCACACCCTCAGGGCCGCCCCTGTTTTTGTGATGTTGTTAAAGTTGATTATGCATAAACAAGTGATTCATGGAATATGATTCAAGTTAATTACTTTGATTTGGATCCATATATTAGTTTATAATTAGTGCAATTAATTAATTTGTGAAAATGTTTTTTTTTTGTCAATTGGTAGGGAGGGGGAGGGGGTAATATTTGGGGAATAATGATTTTAATAGTTTAGAATTATTTCCGTAGGTTAGAATTATAGTCATGTTTCCACCATCCATACATAGGATGGTGCTCCAGCTCCTAGTCCAACACCCTACCAAATCTAGGACATGACTTAGTCCAAGTCAAGTCTATCTTAGGAGTGTGTGCAATCTTTATGGTTTATTTGGAGAAATTTGTATTTATGATACGAACAATTTTTAGGTGTAAAATTACTTGAATGGGTTTTGCGAATACAAGTTCAAACCTCATGTACGTTAGTGTGAAAACAAGTGTAAAAATAACGGAATGGGTGTTAGTGTAATTTCTGAAATTTACCATTTATGTTTTGTCAATTTCATTTTGAATCACATATTTTGATATTATAATTAATAATAATTCTTTAGATAGGGTACGACAGGGCTGTCAAAGGGCCGATTCATGACCGGGTATTGTAATACCATCCCAGCCCTCGCTATCCATCCCTGTTCCCTTCCCCGCCCCCATCCCTGGTAAAAAATTTCGAGGAATCCACGTCCTCAACGGGGGTTACCTTCTAAACACGCTCGAATCCCAGGTTTTTTATTTAAAAAAATATTTGTCTTACATTATAACTGTTAAGGCAAGATTTATGTGTTGGCATGTTCCTAGTCCGAAACCCTAGTGATCGCTTGACCCTATATCCAATCGCCATAGAGAGAACAAGACAAGCGAGGCCATGGAAGCGTCTATGAAGGCAGGTAACAGAAACTACACAAAACCTAATGGTTGTCGCTGGACTAGAAGGCAAACCCTAGACGTGTTTACTCTCCTCCTCACAATAAACGAGAGAGCGACTCTTTCAGCTCCGCCCCTGTTTCTTTTAATATACAAATACACACATTAGACATGTGCACAGTGCAGTGGACGAAATAATTTTCTTTATTTTCTTACTTTTCACTTGTAATTTCATAACATATTTATCCCAAGACGTGGGAGGTTTTGATAACAGTTATTTTCTTTTGCTAATTCTATTTACAGGTTTATTTCCTTCCTACAATTGGTTTTGTAGCTTTATTTAATAAAATAGCATGCATTATATATAACGGATAAAACTTGGCTTCTTAAAATCGAGGAGGAACTTATCCTCACAACAACAAATGAAGTTTTGACATTTGTTAAATTTCTTTTACTTTTTTTCCTTTTGAATTCCTTCAACTTTTTTCCTTTGGAATTTGACGAGTGTAAAAATCTCATTTGTTGTGAGAATGAACTCCTCCTATATTTTAAGCAGCCAATTGTATTCATATTACATTAAATACTAAATTTTAAGAAGAAGAAAATGTTTTGCATTGAGCGAGGTATGTTTTACCCTACTAGCGTATCTTAGTATGCTGTGCATTTCCTCAATTAAAAGATAAATAAATGAATTATGAGAAAATTATACAGTAGAAGGCACATTGAAAAAGATCGAACCATTAACCTATTCTAATCGGACCATTTTGAAAGTTTTTCTCCTTCTTTCATGTTACATAAGATTTTCTGTAGCGAAATTAAAACTGAAATGTTGACAGAATATTTACAAACTTTTAAGTGTTGATTTCTTGATTTCTTACAGCACATAAATTTGTATGGCCTGAACTAGTTGGAAGCTTTGCTGCGGAAGCCAAAAACAATATATCAGTATCACCACTGAGAAGTGAAGAACCCTTTGGTTACAGTTGTGGAAATACCACCAGGCCGTGTGGGACTTGCAGATTTTTGCTGCAACCGTGCGTATCTTGTGCTCGATAAAGGGGGCATAGTGATCAGAATAACTTCAGTGGGTTAGAGTGCAAGCCTTTTCGGAATAACACTAATAATTTTGAAAATATTGTTCAATAAAAAGAGCCTTTTTGGGGAGATTTTGAGCGTGAAATTTTTTCAGTGAAGCTAGTTAGTCATTTGCCATGTTCGATCACAGTTGAGCTACCTTATGCACCCTAGATAGTGGTTTTGAGGAGTTGGTATTGGACTGGGTTTTGGGAGTGGGCTTGAGGGTAGATATTGAGGGTTTAGAGGGGGAAGAAGATGGTGAGAGAATGTGAGGCAAAGAGAGAAACGGAGAGACAGTCGTTTCAAAAATGACTAGGGCTAACTTTTCGACTACTTTTTTCGAACGGAAAGTTTTTATCGAATGAGGCGTCGTTCGATTTCTCGGTTAGAGTTGATGAGGACAGAAGAGAGGCTGATGATGAAATACAAAAAGGAAAAATTAGGGTACAAGACCTTCATGTCTCCTAGAAAGCTAGAAGGATCTAAAGTAATTTGTCCTTGAAATATTGAAAAGTTATGGTTTTTATTTAAAGTTAATGATTTGTTCATCATTTTGAATCCATCATTCACCCTACTTTATTCACTAATTCAGTCCTTTGCTAACCCACCTATCATTCTGCCCCTTTCGGTGATCATGCAAATGAAAATGTCTCAAAATAAAAGGACTGAAAAAGAAAAGCAACCAAACCAAAAACACAAGCATCCACCCAATCAATGAGGGTCGCGCCCGTCTACTACCACCTTGTCCCTATTATATAATAATCATATTATCCAATTTTTAAAATTACAAAAAATAAAAATAAAGAGGAAAAATGCTGTTTTATTTTCCCTTTAGAAATAAATATTAAAACCTAGCATTTTCAAAGCCGTGCAAGTCGCTGACTCTATTCAACGACTTCTTCATCATAGCCACTTTAGCCAGCTTCTCAGCCGCTCTCCACGCTGATGTCGGCGTAAGCGGCTCCCCGTTTTCGTCCACGGCTATCTCCCTCTCGCTGCTGCCGCCACCTCTCCGCCGTTGGATCATCATCAGCATCTGCTGCTGCTCCTCCATGATCTTATGCTGTCTCCTCCAATGCAGCTCCGCCAGCTCAGCTTCCAAGCCGCGTACGTGCTCCTCAGCCGATGCAGACTTAGACTTGAGGAGCAAAGCCCGAGCCGATGCAAGCAAATGATGCGCGCTAGAGTAGTCGTTATGCTCAACCAATCTCCGTGACTCGGCTACGGCACGTGTGGTTATAAAAAGACCTCTTAATCGTTCGATCTTTGGACCGGAAGCTGATCGAACGGCATCAGCGAGAGGTACTAACAGCGCCTGCTCTCTCCCATACACAATCTCCTGAGTAGCCGGGTCTTTATAAAGGCAACGGACTGACATAACATGGTGGCTCCCGCGAGCCAAGGCTCGGGGAACACGCAGCTCAACGAGCAGCTCCCTCTCTTCCTCGGCATACAAGTCGCCGAGCCGCACGGAAGCTGAACCGTGCACAGCAGGCCCTCCATTGCACGAATAGATGGCTGCAATCTCAGCTGGAGCCGAGCCGGAATCGAAGCCGAGCTGAATTCTCAAGTCTTGCACAACCACACTCAAAATTCCCCCAACGCATTTGGCAAACGCGTCCTCAGCCGGCTCCTGGCTGTAGCCGCCGGTTTCACCGAAGCCAAAAGCATGAACCGGTATCTCAATATGAGCGAATCGGGTAGCCGACACGTGGCCGGATCCCTGACGTTGATGGGCTGAATTTTTCACCCTCTCATCCTGACCGTCCGATAAGAGCATGATACTGGCAACCGGATTTCTGTCCCTCCGATCTTCAAGCACTTTAGTCGCCTTCCTCAATGCATCGCCAACACTTGTCCCCTGACCGCACACAAGCCGGTCAACGATTCTCCTGGCCGAACGTTGACCGTGAGCCGTCATTCTCTTCAACGGCAGCAGCCGCTTCGTGGTAGCTGAGAATGCGACAATCGAAAGCCGGTCGTTGGAGCCGAGCGACGAAATGACCAAACGCATGGCGCGTTTCAGCATCTGGAGCTTCGCGCCGGTCATGCTTCCGCTGACGTCGAGCACCGTCACCAAATCGATCGAAACACGACGCGAAGTGTTAAAAACTGGGGGCGGAGGAGCCTTGACCCGCAACGCCACGACGTAGGTGTCGAAGCCCCGACCCGACGAGAGTAAAGCGGACTCGGGTAATATCCTGACCTGGACATTATTGGTTCTGATATCTCGGCCGTTGATTTGCGCGTCGGAAGATGAAGGGTTCGGATTGACGAAAAAGCCCTGGAACTCCTCGACGTCGTCGTTTTCGGGGAATGGGTCTGTGGCGTCTTCGTCTTCGTCTTCATCGTCGGCTTCTGGTATAGGGATGATCCGAGATGTGGGAGAGAAAAGAGACTCGTCGTCGTCGTACAATGGCTTCGATGAGGCTCTGGGTGAGGAGGCCTCCACTATTATCTTCTTCTCCACTTCCCTGGGCTTGGGTTTGGTGGGCTCCACGACGTCGTTTCGGGATTGGTTGAGGTTTTTGTGGATAGCGAGGAGAGGGACGTCTTTCCAGGTGCAGTTGCAGACTGGGCAGACGAGGCTGTCATGGCTGCGCACATGAGCAGCTATGCAAGGGAAATGGAAGGCGTGACCACACTCTGCTGTGTATATGGCTGTGCCCTGCCCTGTCTTCACGCTGTTCAAGCAAATCCCACAGTTGCTCTGCAAAAGTCCCCACAGAAAACGAAAATTCAAAAACCCAATAAGCCAAACAAATAAATAAATAAAATCATTGGGTAGCAAATAAAATAAATGGGTGAATTAAGAGAGTTGCATACTCGAAATTTGAAGCTGTTTCTGAAGAGGGAGAGCTTGAGAGGGGATCGGGGAGAAGTTGGGTTTGAGCTGGAGAGAAAGGAAGTTCTTGTACTCTTGGGAGTGCTACTACTGGTTTTGCATTCAAGCAGCCTGGGGCTTTCATGGTCATCAATGGAGCTCTGGGTTGAGATGACCGGCTGAGATTGCAATCTAGGAGTTGAAGGGTTGCTGCTGCCACTGGAGAAGAAACCAAGCCTCGTACAGCTTCTGGGACTTGGGCTTGGGCTTCTCTGCTGCTTCTCTGATACTCTGGTTTGATCTGCTGGATCTCGAGGGACTGTAGTGCAGAAGGCTCGTCTCCAACCAGTACCCATTTTTCAATTCAACCCCAAAAAGAGCATAAAAAGAAAAAGAAAGAAGCACACTAGATGGGTAGGCTCTGTTTTCTCTTTCTGATATTATCAAAATCTATGGCCTCTACCTTTGTTGAGGAAGAAGAAGAAGAAGGAAGAAGAAGATAAAAGAGAAAAGTGGAGAAGACAAAAGGGGAGGATGGAATTTAGAGCATGGGATCAAATGAAAAGAAAAAAGCAATGAGACAAACTAGTGGGGTGGGAAGGATTTAATAAGAAAGAAAGAATACAGAGGATGAGGAAGTATAGAGTCTACACAGATCAGACTCAGACCATCAGACCATCAGACCATCAGACCGGACCCCTCTCACTCTTTTGCCTTTTTATTTATTTATTTTTTTTTCCTTCTTTTCCATTGATAGCACCAAAAAGATCTCTGCAACCAAAAGACTAGAGATCTACTGCTTCTTTACGTGATCAGAGGTTTAATGAAATTTGATATTTATTTAATATTCATTGGAAAAGGTAATTAGGATTTTACCCTCGGTAACCACCACCCACCTCACCTCTATATCCTCCTCATCCATGCCTTTATATGCTCCATGCTCCTTTATGTACAGACCTGTCTCACGCGCCTGCTTCCATTGTGGCAGCAGCAAGCTTAGGTCACGTGATCCTCGTGGAAATGACACTTCCTACTGTAGGTGGGATGGTTAAAAAGTCAAAAATGGGGTGTATGGAAAGAGAACAGGTGGGGATGGATGATGAAAAGGAGTACATGGTAAGAAATATTACATGCAATGAATTTGGATTATATACTTAAACAACAACTCATCTAGTTAAATTTTTCTGGATTTTAATAGGTGTCAAAGTTCCAAAGGTTACTTTCATACTTTAGGTTTAGACTTATCCAAACCAAACTTTAAATAGTTTCGTTCCTTTCTAGCGTGTCGTTTTATGAATCATTTCATTTATTCTTTGCACATTATTTGTCGTTATTGAATCATAAGATAAAATTTTAATTAATTTGAAAACAAAGAAATATCTAGACTTTCATATAAGGTATCCCAAGACAATCTAACATATGATATCATGAGAATTATATGTGGTTATTGGGTACCTTTATATTTCTATGTGACGGAATGTGCTCTCAATCATCTTCCCTTATCCTTAAAGGTATGTAGCCGATGTACATGTCTTTTTCTCTCTTTGTTCTTTACCTACTGCTCTAAAGGTTAGTTAATTTCAATCTTCTTTACATGCGTACAAGATAATATCTTTTATCTTTCCTTTTCTAATTTCTCTCATTTGTTCAAATTTTAAATTATATTTATAATCAACATACAAGTCAATATTCATAATTCGATTCTCAGAACACATCAATGGCTCGTTCATGCACAATTGACTTTAACGGGTCTAGGGATGTTGATCTCGTTAACATTTAAGGATGCAACAACAATAAAAATTAATCACCTACACCACTTTTCTTAGAAAACCAACCTTGTATTCCCAACTAAATATACAATAACACGTAAAAAAATTATCTCACTTATCATTGCGTTATTAACCCGAAATAGAATTGCAGGAAAGTCTTTCTCCCCCTCCCTTTTATACCACAATCCCATAAAGCTGCATTATTGAACCCAATTTATAGAGCAAAAGCTTCCAAAACCCAAGCACTACCAGTAAACTGTAAATTACTTGTGTACTTTTCCTCTTTTTGGGTAAACAATGTGGACTTGGCAAACCAAGGCAATGAAATGACAATATTTTATATATATTTATAGAGAGCTGCGAGTGCAACAGTACTAGAGTACCTTCCCCAAAAACCAAAAAAAAAGCATCACAGAGTGGCACAGTGTGATTTTGACAGCAAAGAGTGACTGTGTCATGAATGGTCAATAATTTCGACCCTCACGTGGGGCCCTTATAGGTCTGTGAATAGTCAAACGCCGTTAGCTACAAAACCCTAGCATTCTTCATTCCAGTGCTGACGTTTTTCTTCAAGTCCAAAGCTGAAAGGATTTCTGTGAATGTCAACTCCTTGAAGAATAAAGTATCAAAGCCTAATCTTAACCTAATCATTCTTAATTACCAACTTTAATTTAATATTTTTTAAATCAAGTTAGGCAAAATAAAAAGTGGCTTTATCCATTTGTTTAGTTATATTTGGATTATGAAGTTTCTTCTTGTGGATGACTTCCGTGTGGGAGATGAGTCTGTGTGTTTTGTTTGGCAGTTTTGGATTGATGGGCTACAAATGTACTAGGTTATTTTGATTTTAGTGATGCTTTAACTATTTTTATTCTGCTTCTGCTTTTGCTTTTGTTTTCTGAGACTACACTCAACCTCTGAGTCTTGGACAATTTCTTCTTGTTGTTATTAATTAATTAATTGACTAAAGTGCTTAATAATTGGACAAACAGCTTGGAATGGGATCCTTTTGAAAGTTTCAAATGGCATGCTGTGGTTTTAGACTTTGTCAAATTTAAGCTCCAATGAAAATATTTGATTCTTTGGATGGGTAATTAGATAATGTCGGTCGATGAAACAATGCATGCAGTGTTATGTGTAGCTTTCTCTTTGAAAAGGAAAAAAAACATTGAATAATGTCATGATATATCATGTGACATACTTATCTAATATTACTAATTCATGCATGATGACAATATACAATCATTAACAAAGTATGCTCCTCTTTTTCCAGATGCTCCTTTTGTACATGTGGGAATACATATTATACACCCCAATAAGATAATTACATGTGTACAAGAACAAGACATATTTACTCCTAGCTCTATATGCATGAAAATAACACGCTTCTAATCACCCATTGATTTAGAATCAAACGACATCATTACCTAAGCCAACAGAGGTAGGCATGCCAACATGCTTCTAATCACCCATTTGATATAAAATAATTTATCCATGACCGCATGTAACTATTTACATTTTAAACACAATAATAGTAACGTAGAATATTATTTAGTTGAAAATAAGTATGACTAACTATATCATTAACTAGGAGAGCATTCCCACCAAGTTTTTTTTTAATGCCAACATTACCATCAAGTTAATTACCATTAAATAAATGTAATTTTATCATACAATAATTACCGTTGAGTACAAATTTCAAAATAATTTGTTATTAAAGAGTGATGGTCAGGTCAGTGGGCAGTGGGCTCTTCAGTTCTTCTTACGTATGCTGCAGTCAACAACTTAATGCATGCATGTCAGCTGATGATCGTGAGTACCGAGGTTGTTATGTTTTAGTGGTCTTCAAAGCTAAGCTAATTTCTTCCCGCGTGGGCCCCATTTACTCGCCAACATGGCAGTAGCATACCATGTGGGATTACTCATCGTCGTCATATCATCATCGCCTATATGTGTTTAGCCCTATCTCCACGTGGCACAATCTAATCTAGCCCAACTCAGTCAAAGCTGTTGACCGCATATTCATGATGATGAATAAGTAAGAACTAACAAATCATGAAAGGAATGGTTTTGTTTGTCTCGAGAGATACTTCTAAATCCAGTTTCTTTTTCTTTCCTTTTACTAATTTTATTTTATTTTATTTTTCTAAGCAAGTCCCATGTTCTTTTTCATTTTGAATTAAGTTTCTTTGCAAATCCAAACAAAGACGTTTCTATCAAAAGAAATATAATACACAAACAAGAGGACCTACTAATTAATGGATTTCACATATCTCCAATAAAATAACGAAGCTAATGTAGTCGTGTTGATTTTCTATACAACTCTTACTTTAGTTTGTTGTAATTTGAAGCCTTAATTTGTTGTTTTTTCATAATTATTATCATGATTAATTCTAACTCGCATCACATCATATGATCAGGTGAGGAATAAAGTGGTATTTTTTGGACCAGAAAAGATGGCATGATTATACTAAACACAAATTAGGGGATAAAGATTTCTTATTACTTGAAAATGACTCATAATAACATTTTATACACTAATTAACATGTATATATATAATGTTGAAAAGTTGCCTACGAAAGTAGTAGTAAACCACAACTTGTCCTCTTACCAATCAATCTTCCAACACCAAACATTAGTATATTCAACATCTTTTTTATTCAAGAAAAAGGATGTGCAAGAATCAAACTTTGACTCATTGTGGGTAAGGTATAAACCCCCACAAAAAGTTTCAGTGATATTGTTGCATCACTACTAGAATATTTGGCTTTAGATACGATTTTTATTAGTGCTCTTTGCTATAAAAGACATAAATTATCGTCCTCCTTCATGTCAATGGCCACGATGCATCCACATTGTAGTGACTGGTTTCCTCCATAGGGGTTTCTGCTGCTCATAGAGCTCAAATTAATCCATCATTTGTGGCAAATGTTTAAAGTATGATCCGTCATTTGTGTTTCCGTCAACATATATTTTAGATATATGTCACACGAACATGATTTTCAAATCATACCGAATTAGGTATCCCACCAATCAAATAAAATGCACAAGTATCCTAACACAAGATGATAACCAAAACCCTTCTCTCTCAAGTCTGGAGGCTCACACGTTGGAGAGCTTTCAGATCGTTCAAACCTAAATAACATAGGGTCCGCCTACTATGTACTAGATGGCCTATTATTACCTTTCATAATAACGCATCACGAGTTCACCTGTGGACAAAACACAAGCAGCCCATATGCTAATGACTCAAATCCAAAAGCTCTTACATGTTTGTGCTCGTATTAGCCTCACAAGAAAATCCACAACGAATGAGAACGAGGAGGCTCCTCCAATATGAAGAATATCAAATGGACCATTGACCCACGGGTCACCCTCACCTATAAAAGGAGATCACTTTTTCACCATTCGATTCATCATACATCTCCACATCGCTTGACACCTCCACGCATGGCTGCACTATCACAATGTCGCTCGGTATCACTATGCCTCTCGACACCTTGCACCTTGCCCCTCATGTCACTAATTGATCGGCAAAAAATGGTGCAACGCGTGCTATACCAAAGGCTTCAACGCCTCACATCAC